TAATTGTTCGACAGTGAGTAGAAAAACTTGTTCAGACATTAATTTAATGTGCTAACATTGTTAATCATATCAATATATGAAGTGTGTGTGTGTGTGTGTGTGTGTGTGTGTGTGTGTGTGTGTGTGTGTGTGTGTGTGTGTGTGTGTGTGTGTGTGTGTGTGTGTGTGTGTGTGTGTGTGTGTGTGTGTGTGTGTGTGTGTGTCAAGCGGCGTCCTCCATGGCTGACAAATGAAGCCAACGCGAATAAAAACTGCAGATCTTCAAGAGGCCACTTGAGGCTGGCACCAAAAACACGTCAATCTCCAGAAGACCCCCTATTAAAATAAGCATTCACAGCAGTAATAAACATGCTATGTATAATTAAGAGCATGGCTGCTTTGGATGCAGTGTGGCTACGGTCACAGACGGCTGGTTTCAGAAACCAGGTTTCGTTTGGCCCACCTCAGCTCCACCCACGCTTTGCCCATTTATGGATTAACCAGGAGCTGGCAGAGTCAGGACTGCCAAGATGGTGATGGCCAGAGCTTCCCTAGGAAAGGGGGAAGTCCCTGTCTGCCTATATTTTTCTTTCACTTTAACACTGTGGTTCTGCTCTCATTCTTTGTTCACTTCAGTCTTCACCTCCCTTCCTGCTCACCATGAGCAATCTGGACCTGGCATGCTGACAGTTTCATCAACCCACAGCTTGCAACCTGTTGGTCCCCCTTTCCCTCTCACCTACTCCCTCTATTGCTCTCTCCATGTCTATGACTGTTGTCCTTCTGGTCAGCCTGAGGTCATATATTATATTGAACAGTTGTCACAGCCCAGCTGACATGCCGTGTATGAAAGAAGGGAGGGCCATATGACAACAATTATACTGCTGATCACTGCACAATTAACCACCCTAACACACACACACACACACACACACACACACAGAGTACAGCTGCTGCCCCCCTCTTAGGCCCTGTCTGTAGCTTTTATTTCTGCTGCTGTCTCTATTTGACATGGGCAAAAGGAGTGGCTATCAGAGGAGCAGCAGACAGCTTCAAATACTAAAGTTGTGCTGACTCATGGCTTAAAATGCTGCGGTGCTGAGAGGCTGAGTATTTATTAGCTTGGTCACCAGTGTTTTGCATGTTTTCTATGAAAACCTTTTGACTTAAAAAGAGAACTTTTCAAGAATTAAGGTATTTTTTGCCCAGTATGTTTGCTAAAGCTAAAATAATATTTTAATGTTAATTACTGTATTTATGATGACTAACAAAGGCGCTTTAACCTCTAACACTGATGCTGTTAAATGTTATTGATCTAGTTTTTGAGCTTTATATCTGTCTGCTTGATTATGCTCGTGTTGTCTCTTTCTGTTTTTTTTAATGCATCAGCTTCAGCTCGGGGACTTGTGAGATTAAAAAAAGATTTAAAAAAATCAAAAACCAAACTGCAGAGGCAGCGCTATCTGTTCCCTAATCCCTAGTAAGGAATCCTACATTTCCCATAAGCAATCTTATCTCAATAGCATCTTTTGTTTGTTCATGCCTGGTAATTACCATTGTCATTCAAACAACACACTTTCCTCTGTAACACATGCTTTCAATTCAAAATTTGAAATCCTGAACTCAAACTAAGAAAGCTTTTTTTAGATATAACCTTTTTTTCAGGCTTTGGAAAGTTCTCTGGAGAGCCACAGACAACATTATACGATATTGGTGCTCAACTGTGGTAAAGTTTGTATGCTCACATGACACATCGAATCATAACCAGTCAACAGATATTACTTTTTACTTACGGTACAGATAAATGGCAAAAATGACACACTATGTTACACGAGCATTTAAAGCAACATCTTCAAAGTATTCAGCCTCACTTAGTGTCTAACTGTGTCAAGTTAAGCATGAACCCTTCCTCAACCCTTCCTTTTGTCGCTTGCTTCTGAATGAGCTTATAAAGACCGCCTACTACCATTCAACTAAAAAGAAAGAAGGAAGTGGTGAGTGAGTTTCGTGCCTCCAACTAATGTTTAACACAGTAGTTATTTTACCTGCCATTTTCTGCAGTAAGGGAAGCAGGATGTTGTCTGATTAATGTTTATTAGTGGGTGTAGATAGGTCTCTTTCCTGGTAATGCCTGTCTGATCTCCAGCTGCAATCATTCAAGTGTGTGGTGCTTTGTGTCAAAAGGTCATCTCATCATTATAGTGGAATTATCCCAATCTGTGTCCTGGCTGTTGGACATAAAGGATTGGCACACTGTAGGAGGGGGAGAAGCGAGTCAGTCCACGCAAAGGCTCAGGAATAGAGAGGAGGAACTGGTTCTCACACCACAAGAGACAGTAGTGAGTGTATAAAAATGTATGAGAACAGAGGGAAGGAAGGAAGACGTGCAGACCGCAGAGTGAGAGAGCTGAGTTAATAAAAACTTGTTTTTAGAGAGGAGAAGGATACTAATAGACGTAGGTAGTACCCAAGACAGTGTGCATACTTAGTTTCCTTTAAATGTAACTGTTTGCTACTTTATGTTAACATTGAAATAAATCTACTTTATACTTTTTTTTTTTGTCTACTTCCTGCATGGACTGTAGGTCGTTTGGGTTACACTGTTTATTTTTGTAAAATAGTTTTTTGAAATAACACTCAAACACACGCAAATTGATCCGTCTTAACAGTGATATTTCTTGAAAAGCTTTATTTTTTTCCCTCAGATCATTCTGTTCATGCTGGTCATTAAAGCATATTGGTTCTGGTTTGATGGTCAAACTGATATGTTATAAAAATGAAAGAATCAGAATCGGTTTTATTGGTTTTCACATACAAGGAATATGACATTTGGAAAATATAAATTAAATAGAACTGGAGATATGTACAATATGTACAACGTCAAGTTGAATAAATGAATGAAGAGCTGTATAGTTTGTTGAAATAAACAATAAATATATCCAATCCAATCCAACCTTATTTGTTAAGCACTTTAAAAACAACCAAAGTTGACCAAAGTGCTGTACAGGAGAATAAATAAGACATCATAAATGTAAACAGTGATGGTGATGATGAAGACCACTGTGAGGAATATAGACAGTGATGGCGACAACACTGGAGTTCACATGGCAGATAACATGGACGAAGTCCGACGGCGATGAGCTCTATGTCCGGGCTGCAGACGCTCTTTCACACAGACGTGCCCGGCGTTACACCACCTGTTGTTTATGAGCACTGACAGTCCCCCTCCTTTCTTCATGCCGGTCGCGGTGGTGTCCCTGTCGGCTCGAACCATCTGGAAACCGGGACTGGTGACGATGGAGTCCGGTATCTGCTCGTGTAGCCACGTTTGTAGGGTTTAAACCTCCTCTTCTTCATCCTCCGTTTAACCCCCGCTCCTCAGCCTCGCCGTCTCCTCCTCAGCTCCTCCGGTATGGAGGGTCTCTCTCCGGTCAGGATGCTCGGGTACCTCAGGGCGATCATCTGGTCGCGGGTGTAAACAATGCGACTCGCCGTCGCCATGGAGACCCGTGCAAACAAAAAAATAAAAAGTGCTCAAAAACGCCAAAAAAGTATTTAGGCGACGTGAACAAAGTAGTTAGAGAGTAAGAAAACAGTAAAAAATAGCAGAAAACGCACTGAAAACACACTGAAACTACAACAATGATAGGAGCTGCCATGACAGGCTGCCGTTGTCGCCGGTGCCATTCCAAGGATTATAGGAAGAAGCATATATATATCTATAATAGGGCTGCCTCGTAAATAATTATTTTCATTATCAATTTAATCTGCAGATTATTTTCTCATAGTTAAAAATGACTAACCCTGTTAGGCACATCGATGTGATTGTACTTTAAACTCATTCTACTTTAAACTCGACTTATGTGGTTTCGTCCACCGGTATGTAAAACATTGCTGACATAATTAAAGACTCAAGATGTCACTTGTCACATTCAGTTTTAGTTGGTTCAAAGGCAGATTCCTGTTGACCAAGGAGGAACAGGAAGGTTTGGCTGCTTTAAAGTCTGGTGCAGGCCAGCATCGACTTTAGATTCAGTTTGAACCATATCAAAGAAATTGTCTTGAGGACCGGAGGACTGCTTTTAGTGGTTTCTAGTGATGTCACACTTATGTTGATGGTTGACTCCCAGGAGAAACGTTCAGAGAGAGCTTTGCCAGAGCTGATTTTTCATTACACTTCAAACTGTAGACATTGACTTAGATAAATGTTCCATTAATCTTTTTTCATGAATCATATTTGTATGACACCAACACAGAAATGACTCTGCTGCAGCAGCTGTTCAGACAAGCCTTGGGGAAACACTACCACCTACTGCCTGCCATCATAAACCCACAACATGGCCAGAAATAGTTTTGGCTTGAAATTAACCATTGATTACATCAGTTATCGACCATAGTTGGTATGAGCATTTTTAGTTCTGCAGGCCTTCTTTATGGGTTAATCACATATTAAAACAAAGAATGTGTCTTGGATTATGAATTTACAGTCGCACAGACAACTGAGTACTTTCATTGTGTAGTGAGCCAAAGTGAAATCTGGCCTTCAAGGTGAGGGATTTATACACTAATGTTTACCAGTATTGTACTGGCAGGTGGTGACATAATTACTTTGCTCAGTATTAAACTAAACGCTCATGTCCCAGTTCCTGGAATGTGTGTTTGTGCTATGAATCAAAAGGTTTCACAAGCTTGTGGTTCATCTGCTAGACCCGGCTTGACTTCCACTGAAAGTGATAACAAGAGCGAAGTCTTCTGCTTTTTGTTGTTACCATCTTATAATGGTAGAATTGAGGGTGGAGAGATCTTTGATAAACATGTCTTATGGAACACAAACATTAGTCTGCAGTGTATCTTCTTAACATATTTCCTGCCACAAACCAGACCTCCAAACAACTCTGAGAACCACCTCTTTTTTTCTATGTATTTCTCTGTAAGAAACTCTCTCTTTCACCTGCACATTCATTTCATGTGACAAACATTATTACAACTCTTTTATGTGGTCTCTCTCTCTCTCTCTGCAGGAGCAGATCCACGTGCCTGTCTACCACCCAACACCCAGCCAAGCACGACTAGCCACTCAGCTGACAGAGGAGGAGCAGGTACGCATTGCCCAGCGAATCGGACTCATCCAGCACCTTCCAAAGGGTGTCTACGACCCGGGGCGGGATGGCTCTGAGAAGAAGATCAGAGAGTGAGTAGAAACCCCAACAATTACAAAATAATGTTTGTCCTTTTATGTAACTTCCAGAAATTTATTCATTCATTTTTGTGCTGTCCATATCCAATTCCCAACAAAGTGTGGTGTCTGTGTTCACCTACACAGGTGTGTCATCTGTATGATGGACTTTGTGTATGGAGACCCCATCCGGTTCCTGCCCTGCATGCACATCTACCACATGGACTGTATAGACGACTGGCTGATGAGATCCTTTACCTGCCCCTCCTGCATGGAGCCTGTGGACGCCGCGCTGCTTTCCTCCTATGAGACCAACTGACACACATGCCCACAGACTCCTGTGGACCAGACTGAAAACACACACACACACACACACACACACACACACACAATATGCACACACACACACACACACACACAATATGCACACAAATGAACATGCACACACTTTCATCTTGCTAACCTGTATCCTGGATTAGTAAGGTGTTGATATAAAGCAGTGACAATGTTAAAGATTTAGGATGAACTCTCTCTCTCTGTGTGTGTGTGTGTGTGTGTGTGTGTGTGTGTGTGTGTGTGTGTGTGTGTGTGTGTGTGTGTGTGTGTGTGTGTGTGTGTGTGTGTGTGTGTGTGTGTGTGTGTGTGTGTGTGTGTGTGTGTGTGCGCGCTACACAAGTTCCTCAGTTGGCCTGCTGGACAGGATTGGAGGAATGAACAGAGTGGTGTTGTTAAGGACAAGCAGGAAGAAGGTGGATTGAGGAGTTAGACGGGAGCTGACAATGGGGAATGAGATGATACAAGTGTAAAGGGAAGTTAAGAGGAATGGATGACGGTTAACTGATATGATTAAGAAACCTTTCCAAGATCTGCTTTTTTTTTTATACACATACTTCCTTTATTTAGTCCCTATCATTTAAATGAACTGCGACAGAATGCAGAAGGAAGGACATCTGACCACCATCATCAGGCTGCAGATTGTGTTTGTTGGACTGCTGATGCCTGATTACTATAATGTCATACTGCAGACAGAGGGAAAACTCCCTCAGAAGATCTGCCAGATGCTTTGATGTGTCTCCACACAGACGCCTGTTTCAAAGTCATATCTGCTGCAAAAACTGCCACACATGGAGATGTGTGATTTAAAGACTGCTTAAGATGGACATCAGTCTTAAGACTACGAACATCAGATATATATTCTGCAGACATACCGCAGGCCTCCACTCGTCTGTGGGACCCCAGGTCTCGAGTTGTCTGTCTGTATAGATCTTTTAGGAGAAAATTAAGATTGGTTGGTGGATTGATTGTCCTGTGGCTTTGTTAAATCCGTTCTGTGTTTGTTTTGTCAGTCAGCACAAGGGCTCTGTTGAACCAGTGTTTACCAGCAACACAGGAATGGCAAAAGGAAATACAGTATGTGCTTTAGTCACTAATGTGATGGATGGCTGGTAGACTGTTTCTGTCAAGCTACGGACTCCTCATGACAGAGAGATCTCAGATTATTGGCTAAAGCACAAGTAGACCAGTTGACAAACTATTAATACAAATCCAAGATATTTGCACTTATTAATCAGACTTGTGATAAGAGTTGACCATTATGCATTCAGTAATTATGTCAAAGTGATTTGATGTGATTTGCGTTACCTACATTCTCATTACCATTGCAGTGATTTGTAGTAAAAGTCACTATCTCTGTGGACCAGGAGTAAAATCATAACTTATTACCGGTGACCTTAAACAAACTACTGATTTTCAAGTTGTTGCCCCAGTTATTGTCCAGATTATTCAATTCTGAGGACAAGTCATAAAAAAAATATATAAACAATGTTGAGCTCATGTGTTGCATATGTAGAGTCAAGCAAAAGGCAAACAAAACCAGACCCAGCCAAAACCACAGGGGTTAACGCTGTCAGGACACTGGTGGTGTGTCAGTGAATATGAAAGATGATGCCTACTTTACCCGATGTGGTCATTATCAGCCATTGCTAACTATGTTTTCCTCAGTTTAGAAAGGTTATATTTATAACCATTTTTCACCCAGTTTACTATTAAAGCACAAAGAGATCCAGTTGCTCAGTTATGTTTTCCTTCTCTCCGCTAACTTTCACATGTAGGTGAGTCATGCAGGAAATTCTAAATCATTTGAGCCCCTTTGCATAGCGGGCATGATACAGATCCAACACAGTTTCAAAACATGCCTTTAGTGATCTGTGTATGTGTGTACATACCTGCGTGTATGTATTTGTACTAGGCTTTATGGCCTTTGTGTGTGTGTGTGTGTGTGTGTGTGTGTGTGTGAGATAAATTGGGGGGTGGGGGTGGTGTCAGCACCTTAGTCTTTGCACAGTGCTTTAATCTACGTAACTCTTTATGTTGTACATTGTCCTCCATCAGTAAGGTGGAGCCTCATGGCCTTAGGTTACACATGACTGACTGAGTGAGGGTTGGTATCAGCTGCTAAAACGTGGAGCAGAGTCCAGTTAACTTAACAAGAAGAGGGCGATGATACGAAGACAGTCAAGACTGAAAATGCTGCTGCCGAGCTGTCATTGTACAGATCGTGTCGTAAAGCATACAAAGGTGTGTCAAGAATATTGTCCAACTACATTGTCAAAACTAATAAATAAATTGTCAGTGTATTGTGGTGTTTGGATTGGATTTCTGTCAAATCACATATTCCTGAGAAGTCCTGTAGGTTTGCACAGCCAGTTCCCGCCTGCTTTCATCGGCTTTCTGCAATAGTCCTGCAATACAGAGGATGACAGTTTTGGATACAATGGCATTTTTCACAGAGTTTTGATCTCAGTCTGGACCTAATCAGGGGTGGGACTGGCAATGCAGGAAAATAAACAATAAACAATGCCGTGTCATTATGCATGTGTTTGTATCTATAATAGTTCCTCAGAATATAATCAAAGAATCAGTTTAACTAAAAACAGAAGCCACATGCATAGCCTGGGTCATGTGAGGACAATCTCCCAAAGTTATATACATTGACTCCCCACGCGTGCCACAAGCACTTTCTGGGGAGTTAACTTATCACATATTTGAGCTCTTATTCCTAAATAGATTTCCCGTCCTGTGCTGAAAGTTCAGTTAGAAAATGTGCTCACATCTCCAGGAAAATGACTCATGGGTATCAACACTGATGGTCTGACATTCACTAACAATGAAATGGCTGCACAGAATCTTGCTTAATCACAGGCCAGATGGAGTTTTGGCTCTGACTTTGAATCTCGGCAGAGACTTATTTATTTAAAATGCTTCAACTCACAGGAGTGAAAAGTGAATGCTGATTTAGGGTGGATTTTCTGCTTTAATTACAGGATTGAACATGAAGGTTTGCTCATATGTGAATAGGGGTATGTGTGTTGTATGTTTGTGTATGGATGCTAGTTAGACCTTTCCTTGTTTGTAAGCATAAATATGCATATTCTATGTACTACAGGCAAATAATAAATAGACATGCAACAGAACTGTCAGTGGGCGTGATTTATTATTTCCTGTGTGGTCAAAGGGATGGGGTTTTTTTTAATCACAGAAATCGACATCTCTTACAACTGATAGAACTTCTGGACTCTGTTAATACAAAATAAATACATTCACACTGCAGGCACAAGTGACCTGAATCTGATTTCTTTGCCAAAATCACATGGAATATGATCTTTTCAATTCTGATTTGGAGCACTTTTATATTTTGTCCAAATCAGACACAGGTCTGGTTGTTTTGTTGTTACCTGAGTGTGATCATTTCAGAATTTCCAATTTCAACTGTCATCTGTCATCTGTTCACATTAGAATCTGAAATGGGCCACATTTAAAAAATAATGTGAACAGCCACACAAAACAAAAATCTGAGAAATATCAGAATGTAGAGCTGAGGCTTTCAGTGTGAATGTAGCCTATATGTCACCATACAAATCAAACTCTTGTAAAGGGTCATGTACATTCTTGGTTATTATGTCAATAACTTGATATTTAAGGTAAGACACTCCAGACATTGTTAACCAGAATATGTAAACAAAATATATAGAATATGTAATATATGTAAAATATGGTAAAAAATAAATTAAATATAATGTATTAACAGCAGTTAACAGTTGGTTAACTTCTATTGATCACAAAAGCATCGAGGTGGTTTCTGCAGATAGTACAGAGGATAGATATTCACCAGTTTCCTTCTGCTCTTCCTCACCTGTGCAAAGTGGACCTACGCAGTTTATAAAAGCTCTCTAAGACTATAGGTTACTGCGTGTTTGAACAACAAAACGCATTTATATCTGATTCAATATATTTTAAAAAATTATAACAAACGAATCTGTACTGAAAACCCCCCGGTGATAATGTGTCTTAAACAGTAGCCTAATTTGTTGATGGTCCCTAAGCCAACCCAGCGGTTGAGCGGAGGGCAGCGAGGATCTCCGTCCTCCTGACGTTCACTGACATTAATGGTTTAATTATGTGTGTAATGATTACTGACAGTGGCTGATTCTGCAGTAAATGGTTTCCCTTTGTGTGCCTGTTTTTACTTTCTTCATTAAACACGATGTTCTTGATGGTTTGTTAATGACTAATGATGAAATCAATGCAGTGTATTTACGGGGTTTCCCACACGTGATCAGGCCAGTGGGAGGAGTTAAAACTGTGACTAATTTATTCAAACACACCCCCTATACTCTCCCTCCCATTCATTACATGAGTAAGTTCATTGATTTTTTAAATTTATTTTATTCAGACCAGTTTAGTGTGTTCTTAAATCCACTTAATGATATAATATGAGCATAGAAGCATCAGCAGAGTCCATATGAAAGCATTTATTGTTTTTCTTTAACTCTAAGCGATGTTCAGTTGAGTGCTTTTGTTTCAACAATTAAAATAGACACAAATTAAATTCTATCACATAAGCTTGAACACAGAAATCACTCAACAACTGAGTCGCATCAATCAGTATATCAATGCATCCCTACTTTAACAGAGCATTATAATATCAGAATTAAAATATGCTGAAATATGCTGTAGCCCACAATTTACAATGACAGAGTAAAACATAATTTGGAATATCAAATGAAACAAACTCCCTCAACGCCTTCAAAAACAAAGAACAAAGGGAACGCCCTAATCCAGGTGCAAACAGTAATAAACTGTCAGCTGCTCAACTAGCACACCAGGGCCTGTCCTTCCCTGTGATCCAGCCTTCATGTGACCTCCAAATATGCAATATGTACACTTTTGCATTTTATCTGTCTACTATAATTTATGTTACTACTGACAGCGAAGAACCAAATGAAGAACTAGTATTTTTATATGTAATTGTGCAACACAAACTGAGCTTTATAGTGAAAGAGCAGCTTTTTTGCACTTGATTCAAGGCTACAGGAAATGGCACTTTCGGGCGTTTATTCTTCTGCTATACCTCCCTTGGCTGTCACTAATCTTGCACAATGACTTTTAATCTAGCTGCCCATGCACACTCACTGAGTCACACATGCACACATAATTTTTTTTTAAGGAGTCAAAAAAGGGAAGTTGTGCAGAGGGTCACAGGACAATAAATGTCAGATAATGCTGAAGTCAACACACACACACACACATTGTTAGAAATGTGATCAAGCAGGGATATTTGTTGTTGCCTTTCATCATGTCACATTATCTATCTGACCCCTGGTGAGAATGCGGTGTTTATAGCATTTTATCCACCTCATGTTTTTCTATATGGGTGACCTAAATATTAAATGTGTCATAACCTGACCATAGATTGTAGTGGTGTAGTAATTCACGCCAGTTTACTTCATTGTTGATCAATGGAATCGGCCCTGTCTGAAGTCTAATCTGATCTAATCAGATTCATTTTGACAACTGTTACTTTTTAGTTCCTTCCTGAACTTAAAACCAACATCTACTTTCAACTTCTCTCTGTGACTTTGTCTGTACTGGTCACAAACAAGACTCCAAAACTAAACATTATGAACCATATATGAATCAATATTATTGTACATTATTTTTTATTTTGGTACACAAAATTATATATTTTTTGAACTTAGAAACATTTGCTTGGTCTCCCCTTTCTCTCCAAACAGCATATACAAATGTACTTTAAATGTGTGAATATCAAAACCAGTACACTCACTGTTTCTAATTGCAGCGGGTTTATTAAGCCATTTTAGGAAATATAGAATAAAATGTTAGCAAAAACACGTGAGCAGAAAGGCAGAAGTTTTCGTCTTTGTCCTCCTCCTCCTCTTCTTCTACTCTGTGTGAGAGAAAAAAAAAGAAGTTTATATCACAACTGTATCCTTATGCAAAAATAAAACACCAGAAATGCAATAATAAATAAGTGCAATAATATAGACAAGTGAGATATAAACATTATAACAGTGTATAGATTTTATCATGGAACCAAAGGAAATAAGCCTGATAATACTTTAATTATCATCACTGATTAACCAAATGGGATTTTGAAAAGAAAAGAAAGCCACATCAAACCACACCTATTATATAAACTGAGAATTAAAAGAGTCCTTTGTGCGCCATTTTAATATTTGATGTATTACAGGTTTACCCAGCTTGCTCGTCGACACAGGCCTCACTGTGGACCAGCCTCTATCTCACACCATCCGGCCAATCCAAACTCTATACACTTGAGTCATCGTCAAATGACTCCCGGATTGAAGCCCATATATGGTTGACTCCTCCCTCTTCTTTTTCTTTTTTTCCCCCCTGTTAATGGGAAAAACTAACTTACCCACCCCTTACAGCCTCGCTAACAGGCCTGCGCACTCCAGAAATCACACATGGGCCTTTTAATTATTTTAAACATGGCTTTAGCTCTTATACACACATTTAAACAGTCTCAGGTCACTGGGTGGCACCTGCGCAGAGCTGGGGACGTTTCTAATGGTTGCAGTAGTGCATTATACGTGATAGACAGACAGAGAGACAGACAGAGAGAGAGAGAGAGAGAGAGAGAGAGAGAGAGAGACACACACGCACACACACACACGCACACACACGCACACACACGCACACACACACACACACACACACACACACACACACACACACACACACACACACACACACACACAGAGGATAAATATGTAGGCGTCTGTGAAACTGTACCTTATGGTAAGTTTTATTTTTCATTCGCACTCAGACAGAAACATCAAATGAATTAATCCAATCAGAGCAACAATGTTGAGGACTTCATGGAAACATTTGAGAATAAAACTGAAATTGAAATATACAGCAAGTGATTGAACACACTGAAGGGATTAACTTGTTTGTTTTTTGTTTTGTTTAACACTCGTTTTGTCGATGTGCAGAGGACTAACATGGTGCACTGATATCATACTGCAGTGCATCAACAGGGTGATGCCTGTGTGTGTGTGTGTGTGTGTGTGTGTGTGTGTGTGTGTGTGTGTGTGTGTGTTTGTCTCTCTGTGTGTGGGTACGTGGGTTTTTTAGCAAGTCAGTGGTGTGAGACAGACAGAGAGGGATGCGCTTACTCACGCTCAAGAAACAGAGGAGTGGGTTGGGGCTCCACCAACGATCATATATATTATCGTTATATAAAAATGATGTGAACAGATTACCCCATGGGATCATCTGAGTAAGGCCTCCGGCCGACAATGTCCATGCCCCATAGTGAGTGTTTCTGAATGTTAAACCAGCCTCCCAACACAGGAGCAGTATGTGGTTGAAATGAAGCTGGGCTAAATGGCTGAAAAAAATAACTTTTTAGGGGATATGCTTTACAAAAGCATTCAGCTAATCGGAAACAACGGCGTAAGTTTTATGTCATTAAGCTTTATGCATTATTTATAGACGAAGCAGAATTACAACTCTAATTTAGATTTTAAACGATCAGGATGCAGTTATATTGATGTGTGGCACTACAAAGTAACTATAACGTTTAAATGCGTGTATTTATAGTGGTTGCATGTTCATTCATTATCCACTGTGGACCGATACAACAATAATTAACAAACAATAAAACCTCTCTCAAAAACTTTCATAAACCACGATAATGACCGCTTACAGAAGAGCGCTGCGTTGACAAATATGCATTTCCTGAAATATTGCATGAAATCTATTTATAAACCGAGTTCATAAAAGTACCTATAACCTGAAACTTTAACACGGAGATTTCGGATAGTGTCACACAGAGAAAAGATATCCGACAAATGGGGTTGAGAGCAGCAACTGTGGATTTCACTTTCGGTAGCTGTTGTCGGTAGAGGCTGAAGCCTTTAATAAGCAGCCTGCACAACAGGTTCTGCTTTTTAACAGAGCAGGCCTTTAGTGCAAGATGCAGCCATGTTGTGACTAATATCCTATGTTTTTTCATAACGTTAACTTTTAGCCTTTATAACGAAAATCAAAACATGAGACCCATAAACACACATTAAAATCGGTAATAGCAAAATGATTCATGGCATCCCTTCATTATAACAGCAAGACTAAATGGGGCAGTGAACTAATAATATTACAGGGTTCCGACTGAAAAGGCAGTGGGCAACATTAGGGCAATTTATTAAACAACGAGGTGTTAAAAAAAAGCTCATTGTTAAGTTTTAAGAAAGACAAAACAAAAAAACTCGTGTTTATTTCTTATAGGTTATAGAATAATATCTGGAGATGTGTGACTGTAAACACACATAGGCCTATCCGCTTAACGCCTGGTCTACAATGTACTCAGACATTATATTTGCTGCTTCAGGCTACGATTATAAGGCCCCCCCCATCCTCAGCTGTCACTATAATAAAGGCAATAAAAGCCCCCAAAAATATACTTTAAAAATAATAATAATAATAAATGTCTACGGAGTGTCCCTCACAGCAGGGGTTCCCAAACGTTTCCATGCCAACGCCCCCAAATAGCATTCTTTTTTGCAAGACGTCTTTAAAATCACATTAACAACACCATGTAAGAAACAAAACAAACAAAACAACAACTTCTGAATATATTTCCTTACTTTTATTCATGCAATAAAATACATTGGTGTTTAAAATATTAGATTCAGTCACATGCAATTTCCCAGCTTGGATCCTATTTCTATCTATCTATGACCTTTTTTGTGAGTTAGCACTAGCTATCTGGAGGTAGCTAGAGGCAGGAGGCAGCAACTGTTACCAGGCCAACGCTGGTAGTTTATGTGATAAATGATGCTTTGTCTGGCAGGCAATTACATAAAGATGCGCGTTGTGAAATAAGATTTACATATGCCATATATTATTATTAATTAGCCTATATTTTATAATAATACACATAATAGTAGGGAAAGTCAGGATTAATTCTTCTATTATTTATTTTTTTAGAGTTTTATTTTTGATATATATTTGAGTTATAGCTATTTGAATATTTTTACATTCAAATTATCTCTATCTATTTCTTTAATCTTTCTAAAGATATGCCTCTTACACTTTGCTTAAAATTAAGACTTGGATTGGTGATTAAAGTAACTAAAAGGTGCTTATTCTTTGCTAAATCTCAATTTAAACTTTTTCAGGATGCAAAGTCAAAGCTGGAACTACATTAAAGTGTTACACTTATGGTCATAAAGAAACATCTTATTGTTCCACTTCAAGAAACAATTTCACTGAGAGAAAAACTTACGCACATGAGCTCAGATACTCTTGGATGTAGTTGGCGGTGTCCATCTTCCCGTGGTTGAACGCCAGCTGCGCCGCCGTGTAGCCCAGATCGTTGGGCGCTTGGGGGTTCGCGGTGAGCCCGATCAGCAGCTGGATCACCTCCAGATGGCCCTCCTTGGCGGCCAGGTGCAACGGCAGGTTACCATGCTCATCTACGACGTTGGTGTCTGCCCCGTGGTCCACCAGCACGCGCACCGAGTCTGCGAATCCCTCGCGTGCGGCGTCGTGCATCACTGTGAGACTGAGGACGGGGTCGCGCACGCTGGGGTCTGCCCCCGCCACGAGAAGAGCCTGAACCAAGGCGGGGTTCCCCAACTTCACGACCTGCGCCAAGACCAACGGAGGAGGGAAAAAACAGGAGTGAGAACCGAGAAATAATAAATGACTCAGCGCAAATGCGTAGATGCGTGCATGTGAGTAAAATACACAACTACAACAATAAACCAACCACTTCTATATGCAGACGATCATATTACTCATTATGCGTCGCAAGATTACTAAAATCTAATAACTTTCAGACTAGCGCTAATACTGGCCTATTACCAATTTACATAAAAAAATGTAATGTAGCTTTTTTAAACATTCAAACAAAATAGAGCTGCACATTAAATATGATTAGATTTATTATTAAGATGAGGAGACTAAAATGACTTTAAAATTGTAAAATTATCATTATTATTACCATCATCATCAGTGGTGGATGGACTAATACTACAGTGCAGTTACATTACAAATTTTAGTAAAAGTACAAAAGTACTATAACATTAAAATACATGTAAGTAAAACCTATTATGCAGAATGGCCCTTTTCAGAGTAATGTATAACCTATTATGTTATTTTATTAGAAATATTTATCACTATGTTGCAGGTAAGGTGGGTAAACTACTTTATATACTGCCAGGTAGCTTAATGTATAATAATACATCATAATTGATTAGTTGATCATATTATGTATCTCTGGAAAGTAAGTGTACCTGTCAGATAAACGTAGTGAAGTAAAAAGTACAATATTTCTCTATCAAAGCATAAAGTAAAATGGAAATACTCAAGTAAAATACCTCAAAGTTGTACTTAAGTACAGTACATGAGTAAATGTAATTTGCTACATTCCACCATTGATCATCACTGTTACAGAAATTATGACTAGTTTTGATAATAGCAATATTAGCATTAATATTATTGACATTTGCCTGAATTTGACTTTTGTGCAAAACACAAAAGCTCTAGGTGTGTATTGCAGGCAGGAATATATTGTGTAATAAGAGAGGCCCCGAGCCACCATTTTCTCACCACCACCATTTTGTTGCTCACTTTCTAACATTTCAGTACCTCTCAGATTTAATTCTGCCTTTCCATTATACTAAATAATAATACTAATAATAATACTACTACGTGCTTATTCTTTGCTAAATCTCAATAACTTTTTCAGGATGAAAGGATGCAAAGTCAAAGCTGGAACTACATTAAAGTGTTAAACTTATGGTCATAAAGAAACAACAAAAAAAAAAAAAAACAACAACACATAAGTGTATTCATATTTATATATACAATTATGATAATCTGACATTAAATAATGAATTGCAGTAAAACTATGAATTTCAAAAGGACCTGGTTAGTTTTTAGCTATTCAGACTTGGTGTATTTAGATCAGATGTGTTAAAAAATCCAAACTCCTTTCTACCATCTGTCCACAGATTCATGTGAAAAACGATTTATATCTATGTAGACTATTTAATTGGATATAAAGACGAGCATGATGACTGGATATTTGAATATAAATAGGATTAGGCCCTACATCCTGTACTACAAGCACAACAAGACAAGGAAGTTAAGCATGCTGCTTCTCACTACATGCTACAAAACCATAACCAACAAATATATTTCTCGTAGTTCTCTTTGAAAACAAACTAATTTGAAATCGGTTTATACCAACCTGCAGTGCAGTTCTGTTGAATTTATTAAATCCATTAATATCTGCTCCATTTTCCAGCAAAAACAACACTTCAGGTAGATTTCCATTGGCAGAGGCATTGCAGAGCTTGTCAGCTACTGAACTGTCAGCCATTTTTGTAAAAAATATAAAGAGATAGAAGCCAAGGTTTTTGATGGGCTGTGTGGAAAAATATTACCATGTCCACTGAAAATGCAATAATCCAGGAGACTGCCTGGATCAACTTTATATAGGCACCACCCCCTCCAGCCTTACATCACACATGGGTTTGACCTATCAAAGTCCAAAAAACGTTATGATGATAAAACAGTAGTAATATGTACAGTCACACTGCCTAGAAATTATGTCAGATAACAATACATTTGTATTAAGAATGTATGTTTGCCTGCTTTATATCTCAAGATGATTTAAGAAGAGGTTCTTGAACACATGCTTGCAAAAATAAATAAGGAAAATGGCCTTTGATTTTTTTATTTTTCCAAAATGGATGGTTAAGTGATCTGAGATTATTTGTGTGTGTGTTTTTACCTGTAAATCGATTTATAATGTTGTAATGTTTCACTTCATTTCAAATAAATATGTAATAGGCTACTGATTGACGAGAAACTAAGAACTATAAACGAATAACTCATATTCATGCTTCAGCTTCTCTAACATTAAACAGTGATATAGTTTGACTTTACTTTTTAGTTTTACTAAAGTCCTGTGCAAGAATTAGATGTGAATTTAGGGGACGGCTTGTGATACAGTTTGACTTCCACACGTTATGACTATGGTATAAATATTTTAGTGCCCAATCAGTATGCAGATGGGCAATAAATCCATACAGCTTTATCTGTAGACTAAAACTGTATCTCCAGACTCATCTGTTTATTAGTATTAGTAGTAACACTATCTTGCAGTCTTGTGACCTGATGTTAAGCGGGTGATCTGGGGGCAGATCCCCAATTTAATCTAACGCATTAAATAGATGTATGTGTTTCTGTACCTTTTCCTAGAAGCATAGGAGCTTCACAAAAGCAACATAAACATAGTGTATGTGTGTGTGTGTGTGTGTGTGTGTGTGTGTGTGTGTGTGTGTGTGTGTGTATGTGTGTACACATAGGATACAACCAATCTACCTGCAGCTATAATAACTTAAGTAATCGAAGCTTAAATTATTATGGTTGATATTAGGGGGAAAAAAACCACCTTACTTTAAATGATATTAAAACCATAACGCGAGCCTTCCTCCTTGTAAGCTTCCTCCATGTGAAATCCTACCGAGTCCAGGGCTGAAAAAAGCAAACAAAAAGCAACAACATAAATACAGTGACATAAAATGGTGACATCCACGCATATTTTTTCAAAAAATATGATGCTATCCAGTTACTTCCCGCCTATTTTTCAAATGATTTTGCCAAAATAAGAGAGGAGCGCCGATCCGCCCGAAGGTCGCACAGTCAGAACCAGATTCATTTCATTTCCAAAAAAACCTAACCTAACGATGATCCTCCATGAGCAGCTGTCACAACGATGCCCGGCTGGAAAACCTCAAACTGTGGCATACAGGATAAATGTCCAAAACACAGCAAAGCTCCTGGTGAAACAACCTCACTGTCATCACAGAGCAGACGGTGGTTCATTTGAAGTGTGGATTGAGCTGTAGAAGGCAGGATGTTTGCCCTTACAGCTCAACCGACTGAACTATTTTGAAAGTCTTACCAAAAAATATCAGATGACGTGATTGGATAAGAGCTGAATGATAGGCGGAGTGTTAAAAGAGAAACCATGATGCTGCACAACACATCAGTGATAAACAGTGCCTGAATTCATCGCTGACCTATAGAGATGTTCTTCTAGAGAAAAACAGTCACATTGTTGCATATCGGATACGATCAGAGTCTCCCGCTTCATCTTTAGCTTCCAGTGAAAGAGAAAGACGCTTTTTGTAGTATCATCGGCGTTATCTTTCTTTTCTTTTACCATGCCGCCCTCTGGTGACAAGGCTTTATATTGCACCCAAAGCCTTGGTTTGGGTCCCAGTGTGAGTGAGGTCGGATGTGTAGTGATTTACTTTTCACACAGAAACTAGTAGAGCGCCCATGAGGATATGTGCACTTTGACATGATTTCTACATTAAGCATAGACAGACTTTTATTAGATATAGTGTAATGCACTGTATAGCAATGCGGGAAAGGAAAAATAAGGTCAAATGAGGTTATATGATTGGAAATGTGTTATGTGGTACCCACGCATGGCTGTGCGTAAAAATAGAAACGTTGGTTGTTTTTGCGCTTTTACTGTGCCAGGGGTCGACCTGAGCTCTGTCCAGTCAAGGACAAACAGACATGTGTCACCATACGCATTCATTATTGAAGGGAACTGGTATCTCTTCTTGCAGTTTGGCGTTGCTGGTGTCTGCTTTGGGAAAATCTAACTTTTTCTAACCTTTGAACTTGCCCGTAGGCCTATTATTGTTGTTATTATTATTATTATTATTATTATTATTATTAATATTATTATCTGTTGAACATATGCAATTCTGAAAATGATACAAATCCATCCGCAAAAGACATGAGATTTAGCTGGTCCATGGCCAATCTATAAGTAACTGTGCCATCACTCTGCATGCATTGACTCTCGGCCTATAGGATCTTGCCCTCTATCTGCCAATGCCCAATATAGGACTGGCCTCTGCCTGCTGGCCTGCTGCACCACTGGGTCAGTGGTTCTCAAGAGTGAGGTGAGGAGGACTACAGGGAAATTACTCTGACCTCCACAGCTACATCTTAAAACAGTTAGGGCTGCAAAGGCGTGAAAGCATGTGGAAAGCCCTGGCTTACACAGAAGATTAAATACATGTACTGTCACCTATTAGTGTACAGATACTATCCAGTGTGAATGCACAGTGTCCAACACAAGATTACTTGAAACTTGGCATTTAAGGAAAAAGGGTGAAACAGAATATCGATGTATGTAGAATATAAATGTGGTCTAATGTGGTCTTTTAGTAGAACAAATACAATTGAGGCAGTAGAAAAAGTCTCACATAACCCGGCTCGAGTTTACATCAACCGCAGCCGCTTTACGTCAGCCGTAAAGCAATGGACTAGATGACAATAATGATATGAGATAACTGAACACAGTAACGGTACTTTACAGAAATTTCTCAATCTGAAGCTGTTAAATCCCGATAAAGTTTGATATTTCCAATTTGCCAACCTCTCACTCGTCGCCACGTCCAAGCAAAGTGTTTTTATTTAATACTCAGTGTCCCTCTGTGAGGCGAGAAAGCGACGAGAGCCAGTGGAAGAAGAATTGCTTTTAGCCAGTCATTGCCATGGCCTCCGAAAGCGGCGATAGCAACATGGATAGAGAAATGATTCTGGCCGACTTTCAGGTGTGTCTGTTTTGTATGTCCTAGATATTTTTTACTCGGTAGTTAGTAATCCGTTTGGCGTTGTTGAATTTCCTTGAAGCTACTGTCAACAACAGTGCACACGACCTGACCGACGTCGTAAACAGCAGCCCTGAGCTGAGCTTTGCTTTCTGTGGCTAACACACGAAGCTAACAAACTGACAGCTTGCTAACTGCTTCTGAAGGCAATCATTAGCGCTTAAGCTCGCTGTCTAACGTTAGGTAATGGTTAGCCATCAGCTGCCGATGTAAACAGTGTTATAATGTGTGCTTTGAGCTGGATTCAAGTTTGCTTGCTGTACGGATAACGATGATCTTGTTAGCTTAAAGAAAGAAAAAAAAATGGGGGTGGGGGGGCTACGGTGCTCACGTAAACTGTAAACTTGTTTACACATTGCCAGTTCTCCTGTCAGGGTTTTAAATCAGCGGTAGAGGGGACAGGTTTTTTAAGCCCACTTTGCTGGTGGGATAGTATATTTTCATGGTGCTAATATCCAGGCTACCAAGTATTCTTCCTCTTTTAAATTGGTAGTAATTTAGCATCCTGTTTGGTTGGTTGCCATGTTTCTTGACACCAGTACAAACATAATATACGTCCTTCCTTTTAAAATGTACGATTGTAAAATGAACTGTAGTCCATCTCTCTGGTGGTGGCCCTCTCATGGGGTTGTTATTGTAAACCTGGTGTTTTGAAGTTCGCTTACATCATATTTGATAACAGGCCTAAGTAATTCAAGAGTTTCCCACTCTCAGATAATTTACTTTTGATGTTAGAGAGGATATGTCATTCATTCAGATTAGGACAGGGCTCAATAGATTTATTGTTTAATTTGGCTACCTTATCACCACTTCATAGTGCTCAAATTCAATGATTTTCAGACTTAATTCCTGTATGTTTATACTTCATTCGGGTCTGTTTCTGTTTCTAAAGGAGACACTGCACTTTATTTAATGTTGTGTCCTAAATCCTTGGGACCCATAAAGTGCCACAATGCTTAAACATTAAGGGAACAGTTGTAACTTTCTAATGTTTGCACCTTCGTGAGATTGTGTTTCAGACACATGAGATTTATCACTGTGTGTTTAAAAAGGTGCAAAGGCATTTTATTTCCTTTTTGATGGCAGCTTTAAGCTATCATAACTTTAAAAGTAAAAACTGAAATTCTTGAGTTCAGCTGGGCACAAATTCTCCTGGTTTTGGTGCATGTTTTGCCATGAATATGCGATTGTCTGTCAGGTATTTTACTGTTCTGTTTTATAAGAAAGGTGGCAAACGTCTAAATAAACAGATTAAATACAGCAAGAGCACCAATTCATTAAAGCACTTGTAAAACATAACAATTTCAGTATATAGTCAAATTTAGTATTTGCATGAAACAAAGTCTGTGTTGGCTGTTTTTACAGATTAGCATTCAGTTTATTTACATCAGTGGTGCTTAAGTACTTGAAGTTGTCCACTGTGTCAATCTTGTGGTTGGCAGGGGGATAACATTGCACCCCTACCCAAATAAAATTATCATATTATTGATTTTACTGGTGTTTAGATTTAAGTAGTAGTGGTCATATGAGTGAAATTTATCCTTAACAGGTAAAGTAAAGTAAAGATCACCAGTATCATCTACATACATCAGTCTCTGTGCTGGCTTCTACAGTCAATAGAATAAATTGTAAAAGAGAGCGGACATAAAACACAACCCTGGAAAACTAGTGGAACAGGAACACTATTCCTCTCAGCCACCCTGTTGTCTCGCTGAGAAAGTATCCACATTACAACTACTGGTTGTATTATATTTGGATCAAGGTTAAAATGATTTAAAATGCTTTTCTGTGAAAAACTGTTAGCAGCCATTAAGGAGATGTTTTGAAACTTCTAGGTGTTCATAAATGTGGGTAAGCAATATTGCTGCTATATCTTCTCTGTTTTGTTGTGAAATTTATTTTTTATGTGCGAGCAGATCAGAATGTTTACATAAAACAACTTGCAGCAGAATCACATATAATGCATTTCTTTCTTGTAATTCCTCTTTCTTTGTTTTTCCTCTCACAGGCTTGCACTGGAATTGACAACATTGCAGAGGCAATCACTCTGTTAGAGCTTAATAACTGGGATTTAGTGGTAAGTTCATTATCTGTAGGCTTTGGGCTTTGCTCTTGGCAGACAGGCTTAGTCCATCTAGAGTGCAAGTTCAATAGGGCAGTTACCATCCAATAATTTTGTTATGGCCAAATCATTTCTTCATTTTACCCAGTATGTTTTCTGAAGCAGGTGGCAGGATTGCTACCCTCAATGCAATGTGAGAATGCGTACTGAGAGGTGTGGTAAGGTGAACGTTGAGTTGAGAGACAATGTGAGAAAGAATGGGTTCTGCCAAGTTTGTATTAACTCATGATGAGTCTGAAAAGCAAGGAGCACTTTACCACGCAGTACATATTGGAAGGGGTCAGTCTATATTTAGACTGATGCTGGCAGGAGTTCAAAGCAGGCAGCAGCAGCAGTCCAAGCAGTGGCAGGACAGACAGTGGGGCCTGGACTCACTGCACCTGTAAATCTGATGACTTGCAGTTCCTCTGTAGTAGCTGGTAGTTTTTGTAAACATTCACAACAACATATCTGCTCATGTGTGTTTCCTGAGTGGGGGTAGGGAGTGGGTTGGTTTTAACTGAAGGGATACTCCACCCAAATCTTCTATCTTCTTAAGCAGTGCTTCCCCCAGGATATTGTTGAGCAAAGCAGGAAATTGTTTAATCCACCCAGATCCTGATGCAGCTCGTCTTGTGATCAATTTAAGTAGCAAATGACAAACCGATACATTCATTAATTCCCTCGCATTTGCTGTGCGAAATACTGCCATTGTTGTTTTCCCTCCTTCTTTTAGATTTGCGTATAAGATTGCATTCAATAGAAATAAGGGCGCAGAAACTATGATAAAACAAGGATGTTCTTACCTCAAAACAAACACAAGAAATAAAATAATTAGCAAATTGAAAAATGGAATCTCCCATTTACAACTGCAGTGTGTTTAGTCCTGATAACCGCTGCTGACGTTTGTGGCACTTTACCAACAAGTAATGTGTGGCTTCCTGTTCAACTGATCATGCAGACATCAATGCTTTACATAAGTGCCCAAAGATGTTAAGTGGAATTGTGAGGATTGTGGTGTCCATGTCATTCATTTCACTCAAGCTTAAAGATGCCTATCAGAGTTTTTGACCTATGGGGCTATTTTTCTAAGAGTAGCTCAACATTTTGTTTATCTCGTGTTTGTTTGTTTATGGTTTCACACTATTCCACTTATCAACGGGTGGCGGTAATGCGCCAAGATATGCAACAATGTGCCAATAATGGCAGGGATGGAAGAAGACTGTTGGCAAGTGAACATGGATGTAAAAGATGCAGGATTTAGAACACTTAAAAAATCTGAGGGAGGAAATGTATTCAGCATGTTTGTTAGACCGCAAGAATACACGGAATGCATTGTAGTGAGAAACACTGAATATAAACATAACTTTTGTTTGTTTACAAGAAAAAAACAACAGGCCTTCTGTTTCTTGTACCTTTCCCGAACCTTTCTTGTGCAATACAAGTAGCAATATCCTGTTGAAGGTATCCATCCCAAATTGTCTATAGTCTTGAATACAGACACCAACGTTTGTTTTCAGTGTTGATTTAAGACCCTTACATTTTTTTGCCTTTATACATTTCCTATATTAAATAAAAAAAGAATAGGGGATATGCATATACCAGCACATAGCCACTATCTTTATTTAGCTTGTTTGCAGTGAAGAATAGTGAGTGTTCGAGAGACATCCAATCAATTGTCCATTCAAACAAAAGCTCAGTGCAAAGCTGACAGTGGTTACTGTTATGTTTGTCCTCTCAGCTCTCTTTGTTCCGATCAGCCATCGAATTTAAATATTCCATCATCCTCTGTCACATTTGGACAAGTTTAGTCTCAAACTTTCAGCCAACACGTATCACACACTATGACAAACATAATGTTACAGAATCAACCAAAATGTAACTGGTAAATATTGTTTGTTTACATGCGGACATGCTAGTTAGTCCAACAAGTCACCACACTCAACAGGCTAGAAAAGAAACTTTTCAGGGTTTAATGACAATTTTATTGTTTCAATGTTGATTTAACTAAACAATGTTTTGAAATGCTTATTTGTGGATTGTATATATTGTTTTTGGGCAAGTTAAAAAAAAATCTATCTGACAGTATAGCACCTTTGTTTTGACAAAATATGTAGAGGTCCTGTTCTTGTTCATAGTGTTATGATTGACTGGTTTGCATGTCCCTTTTTAAGGAAATACATATAAATTATTATGTTACAATTTACAGAGTTGTGTCTTACACAATAAGCCTTCGATGACCAAATGTGTTGGAACATTAACATTAACTCTATTAGTTACTGTCAGAATACTTGTATAGAAGTATATGCAGCAGTATCGGCCAGTCTCTTTGAAACATACTCCTCATTAATCATCTGCTATTCCATGTTTTGTAATGGCGTAGTTTACTCTGATGCGATAGCTTGAAGTTTACAGATCACAGAATGCAGTCAACTATATCAGTAGCAAAGAGTGTAGAATAGTTGATACAATACACTTACTAAAACATGAATATGGAATTATATCGTGTTGTATAACGTACTTCCACTTTAATTACAGGCAGCCATCAATGGAGTGATACCACAGGAGAATGGGATCTTACAAAGGTAATAACCATGCCACACATTTACTGTAAATCTGAGAAAATGTATCAGTTTACCATCCAACACTGAACAAATGCTACCAGAGATCATACATATCATGTATGACTTTTCAACGCACTGTTCTTTCTGTCGTCATACTAGAATGATCACGTATGGAAAGAAATGCCATGGACAGTTGGTATCAATAGTTGGTATGGAAGTTGGGATATACTGTATGTCACTGAGGTTTATGTGCCTGTGATACTAGTGTGCATCTACAATGTAGCACATCAAACAACATTCAAACAATGCAGGAAATGTGAAACCGAAGCCTGAGTGTATTAGCAGGAAATTGTACTCCTCACCTCAGTGGTGACCAGGCAATGTGAACTTGCAGGTTCAGTTTCTGTCTTAATGTTTCCATGAGCTTTTACCATAATTACAGTGGGTGTAGGATTCAGCATTATTTTCAAGTCCAACCTGGAATTTTTTGTTACTGATCAATGAGTCAAGTCGTGTATAAGAGTGTATACCACTTAAAAAGTAAATATTTTGTGTCACCTGTTACCATGATAAAATAATATTTGGATGTTAAAATTGTAGATTATTGCTCCTTCTATGGTTTGTATTCTGCTGTTTAATGGAGGAATAATATAAAAGACACTGCAACTGCGAGGAAACTTTCTGCCAAGAGTGGAGTTGTACACAGTTTCTGAATAGAAAAGGTTTCTTTAAGAGGCTTTGAGCCCCTCACTTTCCTTCAACGGTTAGTTTACACTCATGAATACACTGAGCTGATCTGAACCCACTCAAACTGGAGACGTTCTGTTAACCGTTGTATTTTGTGTACACACTTGTGTGCATGTGTGCGCATGCATGCATGTACTTTAGTGTGGTTCAAGCCCTTGGGCCATGAGAATATTGCTGGTCTTTCTCAAGGGCACACATTGCTATGAATGGAGGCTGGCTGGCAGTGTGACCAGCAACCAACACATTCACTAAGTGGCTGGCACTGGTATGAGTAGGCTGGCATTGACCAGTAAACAGACTCTGATGACGTGACCTGAGCTAGAGCCAGTTGGAGGCTTCACTAACGCTCCTGTTTAAAATGAATTTCCCTTGTGTCCTCTTTAGTAAGTAGTTTGGAGTGTTTCCTGGTTGATCAGTAACCTAAATTCCCCGGGGCATCAGGGCATCAGATCTTTTTCTGGGTAGGACTTGATAAAAATGCCTAATCCTCTGTTGAACCGTGTCACCAATTTGACAGTTTGTGTGTGGGTGAAGGGCTCAGCAGTTCTGTCTGCTTTGGGACACCTCAACAACGGACAATTTAACGGCCGTCGCTGTTGCTGTGCCAAGTTTCGGTGAAAGTGCACTTTTTCCCCCACTATTTTCTTTTGTTCCTTTTCGTTTTGGAGAAAAAACTCTTGCTCATCTCATTCCAGTCTGTTTTATACCTTTCTGAAACTATCTCAGGCCTTTAAATATTGAGTGATTTCAGTATGAATTTATTAAATAGTGGTTCACTTTTTTTTCTTTTTTCTAGCCACAGTAAGTATTTTTCTTGTCAAGTTATAATGTTAGGAAATGTTTGGAACTTCAAATAATTGTTTGGTTTCTAGATTTGCTTTGTTACTGAAATGTCTGGTGGAAGAGACAGTTATAGAGTGTTACCATTAGGTTGGATTAATTTCCCACCCTATTGGTTTCAGCCTGTTTGTGGAGGTTTTGTGGCTGTTGACCACCAACCTACGCCGTACGACCGTGGCCTCTCTAATGTGGGGGGCCAAATAAAATACAGCCTTTGTTAAAAAGCCTGAGTCTGGCACTCTGTTCTTGCAAGACAGTTGCTGCTTACACTTCAAGGAACAAAGGGCACACTTTGCTCATGGTCAGGAGAAAAAAGACATTATTTACTGTGTCTTGTGCAACGTGGGTTACACACTGAGCAAGCAGCAAAGAGGAAAGCCTGAAAGAGAATAAACAGATATTGTACAGGCGGGAAAGCCATTTATTGTTGGTGTGTTTTTTTTTTGTCATGCAGGCTAAAAAGAGAGATAACTGTCATGTGGCCACAAAAATACTCCTACATATATTTTGTCTGCTAGCATCGGTTATGTTTTGGCTGTTTCTTCTCTCCACTTTCACGCCAGCAGTAACCTTATCACCTCTGTACAGTAACTTCGCCGGTGAGGCAAGCCAGGCCAGCATGTACGGACCTCCAAGCCAATCAGAAGCAGCCGATGCAGCAGCCGGAGGTGCAGTTCCTCCTACCTCCTCTTCGTCTTCTTCCTCCTCTCCTCCATCGTCCTCGACTTCAGCTTTTTGCCCAAGCAACTCTTCCTCCCGACACATTGTAGAGCGTCAGCCCAGGATGCTCAACTTCAGGGTGGAGTACCGACAGCGCACCGTAGAGCTGGTACTGGAGGAAGGCAGCACAGTCGGTGAGCACCACGCACACTGTCATACTGTCATAATCAACATATCACCCTGCCTATTTGTGCATAACATTTTCCTCTGCATTCGTCTGCATACATCTAATTTACAGGCGAAATCAAACAAATCCTCGAGACAGAGCTTGCGGTTCCAGTGTCCAAAATGCAGCTGAAGGGATGGAAGAGTGGAGATGTATCTGATAGTGTGAGTTAATAAACCTTATAAATGTTTGACACAAACATGCGAGTGAAAAAAACAATGGCGCTTGAACATTTTTTTCGTATTTTTTTGTTTTTTGTTTTGGCAGTTTAACTTTGTGTTCTGTGTCTTAATCTAAATAATATATATTTTTAAATTTCAAATTTTAGCCGCAACATTTACATTATACAGTGTATGCTGATTTCCTGCTTGTGCTCAGTTACCCATGTTATACTGTTTATTTCCATTCCGTCATACACAGATCACTTTCTTTGTATTGTTAGAACATAGCATATATGACTTTGTTTTAACACTGTTATCCAAAACACCAAGTAAAACCATGAGTGTGTTCATATTCAGCATCTGTTGCCAAGTGGAAATCACATTCCTGGCCCACACGGCCTTTCTCAGGTCACCGAGTCTTCCAGGCCTGTCGCCTACCCCACAATCAGTACAACTACCTGATGTTCCTAAAAAAAATTCCACTTCTAACCAAGTAGTATAGAGTAACAGGCTTCCCTAAAAAAATATTCATCATGAGATCTTAAACTGGACAAGTACATATTCAGATATAGTGAGCACCAATATATTCCCTTAACAAATCATTATCTCTGCAGCTATAAATCCTTCCTAGTGAATGAAACTATTCTGAAGTTGTATCTCTGTGTGTGTGTGTGTGTGTGTGTGTGTGTGTGTGTGTGTGTGTGTGTGTGTGTGTGTGTGTGTGTGTGTGTTTAATCAGACGGTGTTGAGAAGTTTACACCTGCCCAAGAACAACAGCCTGTATGTCCTGACCCCAGACATCGCCCCTACTGCCAGCACCAGCAAACACAGGTATTCAGCCCAGCACTCAGGACTCTCTCGCTGTTCTTTTTATATGTAATCTCATAAGTCCTCATCCTGCTACACATACACTATGAAATACTACTCATAATGGTATGACCGTAGTACCAACTTGTGAACACTAGGTGGCGGGGTATGTCTAGTTATGGAGAAGATGCACCCAGAATCCAGCTAGCAGATACCATTTTCTCTGGTATATTAAGAGACGGATGACCTGCTGGCACACATTCATTTTCTCGCATCCTTTGTGACATTTTGAGAGGAACATCTACCGCTGCAATCTCTGTGTGTTCTGTAAATAATCATTTTCTATCCCATCTTTGTTTCTTTAAGCCTGACATTGTTGCTTGCCGAAGGTTGTTTTGCATAGTACTCTTTGTAGATTGTGAATATGATATCCACACACAGCATCTATTCTTTACTCCTTTTTTCAAAACACGCCACTCTGTCACATTGGTGATAGTACCCAGTGACAAAAGAGGTTTTTTCAGAAAGCTTCATTAAGCCAACGTTCTCCATCCAGAGGGTGTTCTGTTCATTTCAGTGAGTCCGCGGCAGTATTATCAACCTTTCCTTCGGAAATGTCAGGCTGCTCAGTGTAAAGTCGAAGCGGTAATACAATCACAGGTGGCAGCTGAACATGTGATTGTCCTTTCATCAGTGTCAGGTAAACATTGTCCAAAGAAGTCTTGTTTCTCACTTGATTGCACCTGTAGTACGTACTATAAGGTGATCCCTGTTATTTTTTTAATTTGAGCATAGGAGCATTGGACTAATGAAAATAGATATATGTGAGGGTACATACTTGTCTGCGTGTAAGATATAATTTTTTATTGCATTGTGCGCGTCTGCTGGATGTCATTGTCCTTTTGTTGTATCTGTTGATTGCAGACATTTCTAGGCCAAATGAGGGAGATGAGGACATACACTGCCACTCATGTGATTATTAAAAGGGTATTAAAGGAAGCCTGTGTCGCTCATCATTAATCAGCCTCACTCTGATTAATGATCAGAATGAGAGACTAATGATCACAGTGAGGACTACAGATCATAATGTCTTGCAGCAAAACATCAAATCAGTTAATGTTTTTGAGAAGCAAATTCTGTTGATTTGTGTGCTCTCAATACTAGTCAATATTGTTGAAAATAATATTTTAGGAGAATTTTGAGAGCCTCAGGACTATTTTTCAAGCAAAGCATTATATTATAACCTTAAAAAATAAATAAATCAGAGGGACTATTTTTAAAGCATTTTGATAAAACATTTAAAGCATAGCATCCTCATAACACATCATTTGACAATATTCAGCAGCACTCCTCTTAGATACATTGCGTTTATTAGCCAGAGTTGTTTATAGCATCACATATAATGCCCCCCAGTTTGTTTGTTGACAGTGGATTCAAAATTAAAATTGTACTGTAACTCTCCCCACACTTCCTCATGTTAGCAGCCAAGCAAGCATCCACATGTCACCAGAACACTTGTAAAAGAAGTCATTTGGCAGTTTGCCGCATTGCCTGCTAGTTAGGCTAAGTGGTAGCTATATTGTGTTGGCAGCTAATGGCCCTCATCTCCCCAGTCTTCCCTCCCTCGCTCTCTCTTCGTCTTCTCACTCCCCCACCAACTGCTGTGTCTTTTTAGCAGCACCACTGCCATTTCTCCAAGTGTTATCGATATCATTTTGGGTGTCAGGAGCTCATTATTCTGTCAGTGGAGGACAGTTGGGGCTGAATGGAGTGGATGGCCTTCTGTGTGTATGCACATGTATTTGTGTTTTAATGTGTGTGTGTGGGTGTGTGTATGGGTGTGTGTATGGTGACCCTGCTGTCATACTGGGAAAGGATAGGTGACAGATCACAGAGTAGTGGGGGGAGCAGTTCCCTGTAGCGGGACCAGACAAGCTGTTAGCTTGCAGTAAAAATAAACTGAGGTCACACTGTAAATCCACAGTATGTGCAATTTGTGTAAAGTGTGTGCAAATTTGTTGCATTAGACAGAGCACAGTGCCAGTAAAGGCCTCAGGTAGGGAAGCACACTTTATCACCATATTGCCATACAAACTCAAGGTACTAATGTGTCTTCATAAAGCGAACTTATCTGATCTGGTCCCACTATCTATTGAAAACAAAATTATTGATGAACCAATTAAGATAGATAGATAGATAGATAGATAGATAGATAGAAGATAGATAGATAGATAGATAGATAGATAGATAGATAAGACTTTATTTATCCCGAAGGAATTTATCATGCTTAATAATACAGCACCAATTAAATAATTACAGATTCTCTTCCAAGAAACACAGCTCATTGTACTTTAACAACTTACGTGTGCAGTATTTTATGTTTTCTCACTTACAGTATTGCTCAAAGTGGAGTTTATTTCACATTGTGAAATTAATAATTCATCATTATTGCAAGACATTAAATCAATATTTGGTTCAAATGTATGTAAAACTGCAAAAAAAGTCTGTTCTTGACTAAACAATTGAAGACCTATCTCCAAAAGACAGGTTGTAGTGCCCATGCCTTTCAAAACGTAGCCTCTGCAACTGGATCAGTCCAATTTACAACATAGCCCTAGACACTCCATCGCATCAAGTTTCCTGCCCTAGCCAATAAAACCTGCCTCTTAACTTCTCCTTACAGCAGGCTGTTAGCATCATCTAAATAACCATGATGAATCTAAAAATCACAATATAAAACAAATAAAATTAGCACTGTTTAATAACGGTGATGTTAATCTAATTTTCCTCCAAACTGCCTATTTCTGTGTCTTATTTTTAGACGCGTGTTGCACATTCTGAAGCTTTTTCACACATGCAACCAGCAACAAAGCTGGCTTCAAACATCCATATAAGCTAGTGGTTGTTGGCATTAAAAAAAGATCTTCCATATACATCAGAGTCAAGTATTGTTTCACAGAGATCATAGTTTTTTTTCCCTAAACCCAACATACGCTTTTAGCATTGCTGAAAAAAGGCTTCTCTTTTGAAAGTTGTGACACCAAAGAAGAAGAAAATCCCCCGTTGTCAAACAGTTTCCCAAAACGAAGTCTGAGCTCCCATTTAATTTTCAGGATAGTGGCTCAAGACACACTAAAATACAGAGTTTCTGCATGAATGTTTTTGATTAATTGTGCACATTCACCTACTGTGTTTTATTATCTTGCAGTGAAATTCCACTGTAGGAAATCCTGTGTTACATAATGAAACTAGGATAAATATTTAAAGACTATAGAAAATATGAATGTATTTATTATTACTTTAAGTAAAAGCAATGTCATGGCCACTGATGCTATTGTCCAAGAACTTGAATGATATTCTTAGTTACATTTGGTTATCTTTATTTATATATTTTGAATGAAGTTAATGAAACCACGGCCGTCTCCAGAACTATATTTGCTAGTTTGTAGTTGTAGTCTGAAACGGCAGTTATCCACCCAATTTTAATTTCACAATGTTTATTTGCTTCAAATTGTTGCTGACTAAAAATGCAAATGTCCCATAAATGGTAATATCCCTGGCAATTACTTTGTAGAGCTTGGCTCATGCAGCACACACACCTAAACCAAACCGACTGATTAAATAGTGCTGCACTGTCATTATGATCCTGCTGAGTAAACTCCTCTTAGTTGTCTTGTTTGATTAGAAATAAATCTTGAGGCTTTGGGAGATTTTCCTTTGAGCACCAATCCATCTCAGGTAGTTATTTAGTTAGCGATGTGATGTGCAGTTAGTACTGCAGTGTTAAAGCCCAGTCTGAAGAAGGTTTTTCTCTGTGGCCATGTTGATGACTGCCTGTGAATACAAGGGGGTGTTGAGGAGGAGCTAATCTCTTGCATAAATGATGAAGGCCTGATGAATATTTCAATGGAGCCTGTTTCCTTCCTCGTTGATTCCCGCTCAGCTCTCAGGAAGCATGTTTGCCAAGGAAAGGTTATTTTAATTTGAACTCGCAAAGACATTTGAAATTGCAAAAATGATTCATTAGGTTTTGTGTGTTTTTTTTCCGTTTTTTTTTTTCTTTGCGGCTTCCTGCTCCCTGCACCCCCCCCCCCACCACCTACCTCTGCCTTCGTGTGTCAGCTATCCAGTAGCAGATTCAGAGATGCTATAGGAAGATAGCTAGCTGGTTAGCTAAAGCAGCCCTTATTGGAAGCATCTTACGTGTTAGCATGCTAATAAACTTTGGGACAAGATGGCAGAGCAAAACACAGCAGAGCCTGAACGGTTTCGCATCCTTCTGCTTTGTTGTGGATGTAAAATGTGGAGGAGGTAAGAAGACCTTGTGTGTACTTCATGACCTCCTCTGTACATTATTAGAGGCAACATGGTCAGTTGGCATGTACTCTCCTGGTCAGTATGGTGTTTGTGTGTTGGTTGGAACACGCATGATGGCAAAGAGTGTGTGTGTGTGTGTGTGTATGGGTATTTGTGTTTTGCAGGCACATGTCACATTGTGTGTGTGTGTGTGTGTGTGTGTATGTGTGTGTGTGTGTGTGTGTGTGTCTTTGTCTGGCAGTGCTAGTTTAATAAGGTCTAGAGTCTGCTCTGTGCCGCTGGGACTCACAGCTTAGGCGATGGGCTTACCTCAGAATGAAACCAATCTGTTTAGCCTGCTCTTCTCCCCTGCAAAACGCTCCATTTTCTCTGTCCATAAAGTTAAATGACATTTTCCTCCCGACACCCTTATGCCATGTCAAGTACCTCCAGAGATGTTGAAGGCCGACCTGGATGTCATGAGTGTGTGTGTGTTGAGTGAGAAAGAGACCTCTGAAGGCAGAAGCAAACACTGAGACATCCACATTTCCACCCCGTACTTCTTGAGGGGCCTGCTTCTATGAGAAGACAGCTGCTTTAAAAACGTCAGTGGTAAAAACAGTCGAGCCAAGGGGATATTAGACTTGAAACATGGGTGTTTTGTTTATATATGAACCAGCAGGCCTTTTCAGACAGATGGGGAAATGACAAAGAAATTAGTCATTATGAATGGCAGTTTTTTTCCCCTCTGAATGCGTTTGATATTTTGAGTAGCTATATTTGTACTAAAGAGCACAATGAGTGATCCGATTTTTCTAAGTAAATCTCGAACAGAACTCCACCCACACGCACACCAAATGGTCTGCCATAAATGACTGATAAGATGTTCCTTCTTTGCTTGGAAGGACAGAGTAACACTTCCACTCAGTTTACCCTCTATCTCTGTCTATTTAGGAGTCTAGCTGCCTGCCAGCAGTAGCTCGGGACTGTGTCCAAACATAATCATGATATTAGCTAGATCCTTATTTATGTGTCCCTACCCCTTTCCATTTCTCCTCTCGCTCTTTCTCACTCTCTCACACACATGCACACACATCTCTCTCATCCTTCTGCTCAGCCTTATTACGTATGCATCCATCCTTCCCACTCCACACATTTCCAATCTTCCCCAGTTAGCTACAACAAACATTACATTTACATATTGATTTCGTAGTTTTAGTCAATGTAAATATGCTGTCATTACAGTAAATTTGAGCTTCTGTTAACATAAGCTCGTCCAGATCTGTGCAGATTAAGGGTGTGATTGCATAATTAATGTGTGCGCTACATATTAATTCCCCCATCCCTCTCTTTCTCTCAACTCTTCCTCCTCTCCTTGGGTTCTGAGCCCTGATTAAGTGCCTGCTTCGGCCCTTAAGCCTCCCATTGATATTCCGCCTCACAGACCCAGCGTTTGCTCAAAACGCTACTTAACCTCACAGCTTATTGTAAATGAAGCTTCCAAAAGTTGATTCCCCCACCTCCTCCTCTCTACGTGAAGCACACAGCGTCGTTCACAGCGTCTCTGTCACCGCTGTAAGCCACTGAGCGGTGCCAGCTAAGAAAGTCTGACCCTTCGGGGTCTCTCAGACAGGTTGTGTCTTCACTGCCAGGTATCTGCTCACAGTGTAATCAGCACATGAAGATCTCAGACCAGTCGTTACCTGTAAACAGCTTTTTCAATAGATTGATTTATAGATCTGTAATTGTTTTCGTTATCTCTGTTCTGTTTAATTGTCAGAATTTGTCAGAGTTCTTATCATTTTACTTCCATGCTGTAATACTATGAATTTCAATTGAAATGGAAATATGTTTCACCATGTGAAGACTGATGCAGATAGGTAGTAGCATAGTTTAGGAGCATTACATTGTCACCAATCCTAGAATCATCGTTAGGTTTCCGTAATCTCTGTTATTGATATGAACTGATATGATTTGGAATTTATGTGACTATACAGACATGTTTCAGCAGATAGACAGAGACAGTAAAGTAGTCAAATAGAGCAGTAATCCAACAGTATCTGGTGATGAGGTCAGACAACATGAAGGACAACAATGACGCTTTTTTGGCTTGAGAATGAACGTGGTTGCAGTGCTGGTCCCTTACATACAGCACTGTCCGCTCTAAAACAAAAGTAAACATTTTTGAAAGCAATTGTTGTGGAGTGGAGTAGCAACTGTTGAGTTATTGGTGTTGGTCAACACCCTTACCAAACCCTGCACATTTGGTCGTGCTCCTCTATGTCACAGTAAAATCTTGCTTTAATGCATCTTTAGGGTTTGTAGATAGGAAGGTGCTGAAACCTCTCCTGGGTTTATTTCATAATAGCTGCCAGGTGTGTTAGCAATAAGGCAGATTAATGGGCTCCATGCTGTTACCGTGCAGGTGGCCATAGCTGTGGTAGCCTGCTGTGAGTGCAGCTCTGGCCAGGCTTGTTAAGACACAACCAGTGAAGTGGGCGACTAGCCCCCAGAGGAGGCACCTACCTCCATGTGGGCCAGCAGGCTACCACTAGTTGACAAGTTTCAGCTTGCCCCTTACTTGACTGAGTCGCTCTTAGTGATAATGTTTGTTTTCCTGTAATGACTCCTTCCACTTGAGTCATTACTCTGCCTCTTTTACATGTTCCTTGTCTGCATCAATTTCAATTTTTTTTCATTTCCTTTACTGCGTTCATCCCAATTTCTAACTTTTTAAACTTACTTTTCCCCTCCTCTTTCAGTGCTCTCCAAGAATCATTAAACCAGAACTTCCTGCTGGTCATCAGCCACCGCGAGGCCCAGAGGGACTACAGTCTCAACTTCCCTGGCTCCAGAACCATACAGGAGGTATGACACCAGCATGTACGCAGATGAAGACCATTCAGGACATCAGAAAGTCTCTTTATATGCCCAGGCACACACAAAAGCTCTCAGTGACTCTCCCTCAGAGTCTCCCATACATAATATTATTGTACCTGATTCTAGTTTCCCATAACACAGCTTTCATTCCATTGGCCAAACATTGCTAGTCTATCTCAGCCATCGATTCATTATTCATCACAAATGATCACATTTCCGAGCACATAATTACTCTCACAGCTGTGGTCTGGTACAACCCCCTCTTTTTCTCCCCGCTCCCCCCTACGCTGCGTCTTTCTCCCTCTCTCTCAGCAGTCTAGGAGGCGGTTTAAATACTGAACATTGTTTGATCTAGGCATGCGGGAGAAATGGAAAGAGACAGAGTCTATTCATTTTCTTCATCTGAAACTAAACAGTAGATTTGGCAGACTATGAAATATTTATAGTAACTCATACTGGACCCAGTGTGAAGACAGTACACCTCTCTGTCCATCGGTTATTACTATCACAGCTGCAAATGAATTAAAGCTTGAAGAGCATGGAAATATATGTGTCTGCTTGCTTGCCTATGTAGATGAGGAAGTGTGTCTGTGTCAATGTTTGGTCCCATGTGGGTTCACACACACATACACTTATTTCTGTCCTATACTCATGCACAGTTCAGTTGCTGTCACAGGTGAGGGGAAATTAGCTCCTCAAAAACCAATCAGATAGGATAGAGAAGTCCCACTATTGATCTTACATCACGTGTTAATGAAGTAATCATAATTTGCACTAGATATATGGGATTGACTATATCTTGTTGTTTCCATTCCTTTGCCAGCATTACATGATTTAGATTTCCTCTTTTTTCAGCTTGTGTTTTTTCTTATGGTCTCCATGTTTTACATCTAGCTAATTATTTACTCTCAAGCAGCAGTTAAAGGTGTTCTTTGCTCACTGCAGCTCGGGCCTGGCTCCTCAGTGCGGGTGAAGATTACACTAATAATAATCAGGCCACTAGCAGGGCTTGTAATGGTGCTAATTGAACAGATTAGTGCAACCAACATCTGAACTGGAGGAGGCAGCTCTTCTCCCTGGTTTTCTCCCTCTCCTCCCTCGCTCTTTCATTTTTCTCCTCCCTCCGTCATCTCTCTCTCACCCTCTTCTCAGGCAGATGGTTTTGATGAGCACCCACTGTGAACCTTAAGTGTTTCTGCTGGGATTACAAACACTGGGGAGGGGTCCCTGCGGTGTGGGAGGGGGGAACCATGGACACAGAAAGGAGGCAAAGGACTGTTGGCTTGGTGGGGGTGCTGTAAGAGGCCATAGGGGATAGAGAAGGGACAATGTGGGCTTAAACAGGCCTCCATGTCGCAGTCTTTTCCTTACGCATGCTTGTCTTTAGGCATCTCAAGGCCCCCTGCAGTGAAAATGAGGCCCAGAACTTTAACCTGCATAGATCTGGACTCTGTTTGCCCCATGTTGACCATGCTCTTTATATATTTACTTTTTAGCCAGAGAACAGACGTCTTTCCTTTTTTTATTACTGTAATGTGTTAGGCAATAATATGTTATTAAAGCATGTGTACAACTATATGGGGATTGATTCAAAAGGTTCAGTAGCCAGTGTGGAGAGCTACAGGTGCAAGTACAGTCAGTAGAGGCAGTTAAATAGTGGTTGTGGATGACCTCACTGAAGTTGCTTTGGAGCAATTTGCGATGCTCATAGTATAGATGAAGAGTTTAGTTGTGGATTTTTTTTGATAAAAACAATAATAAAAGACACAGACAAGTGTATTTCTTCATAAGAAGAATTAAAAATGCAACAAAGAAGTAACACCATACTCAGCCAGCCTGACTCCCCTTTTTGCTCATACTGTGTCCACTCACGGACACATATGGACTCCACTACAGAGCACCTTTCTCTTCCCACTCTCCCTTTTGTCTTAGCTGAAGACTAGCCGATGGTCCCTGCTTGTGCATATCAATAGGGATAGAGTCCTGTCTTCTTGTTTGTCTTTGCCAAAGGCTCTGGCTTTGCCTTGTGGCTCTCAGGGAACTGCCCTTGCCCCTCCCTTTCTATTCCTTCATTCTCCATCTCTCTCTCTCCCAGTGTCCCTTCTCTACCTTCTTTCTTCTCCATCTCTAGAGCACAGGCCTGTGTAGACTCTGATTGGCATTACCAGACAAGAGTGTGGGGGTAAGTTGCTGGCTAGCTTCTGAGCTAAGCTGGAGAGCAAATGTTTGCCAGGGACGTAGAGGGTAGAATAGGGATGGCTGCTGGTTTCGGGTTGTCCGTGACCAGACCAGTTGTCCTGGGGATTTCCCTCCTCTACTGCCCCCCAGGGCTGGGCCTGGGCCCCATCCCTACTCCGCAGCTGGGAGACATATAGGAACCAAATGCAGAGAGGGATACAGAGCTGAGAAAAGGAAGGTTGGACCGAAAAAGGAATGAAAGAAAGGCATCTGGTGCCTAGGGGAGATGAAGAAAGAGAGAGAGAGAAGGAGAGAGAGAGAGAGAGAGAGAGAGAAGGAGAGAGAGAGAGCTTGTGACTGTTTAACGGAAACCTTTCCTTCTCTTTGATTTGCTTCCAACCAGGGATTACAGGCAATTGGCATTTACAATGATTGGATCATTAATTTTGCTGTATTGCCCAGCAGCTCAGCACCACAGCCAGTCTAGCTAAAGTTGTGTATAATTGACTCGTACACCCCTGCCGCATCTCAACATGAACAGCAAACACACAAATCAGCAGCGCTCTTACTTTTAACACTTTGTTTTAAAACATGTTCTGCTCTTTTAAAGACATTTCTTTTACATTTTAGCTTCTGTATGTACCATTCAGGTTGATGGATAATTTTCATGTACCGTTGGAGTCTTTCACCATTGGTGCCATGTTCTGCTTACAAACCTATAAAGCCTTGTGCTATATAATGACATTACAGCAATATTCCATTGTTGTGGGACAGACAAGTTTTAGCTGGTAATTGTATGTAAACTTTGCTATGTGAAATTTGTTACTCAAATTCGATGTTTAAATGTAATTGTTTTAATTTGTTGCAATCTAATTTATCAGTGAGATGGCTATTGTGGCAGACAGGGGGCAGCATTAGACAGTATTGCTCCCTGAATGTGGGCTGCTGTGGCCAACACATGCAATGCTTTGTAACTGGGGGCTGCAGCAAAAACTTCGACTACTAGGAGAAGCCAGGGCAACCCTGTTGTTCTGTTGCTATATTTGCTAAATTACTTGGTCTGTCTTTGATATGGTTGCATCAGATTCTCACATTAGCACTATACTTTTCATATGGTCAGAGATAGGCCGTGTGAATTACTGCCCGCAGATTCTGGTGGTGTGGTTTCAGGTGGGCAGGCCTGGTGTGTAGCTGTGTTTTCTTTCTGTGGTGAGATCAGGTTGTCCTTTGCCAGGTGCTTTTCACTGTCTGTCTCCACTCTCCTCCTCTTCCACCTCTCACCTTCATTCTCTCTGTGGTGGGCGTTAGTTTGTTGTTTCTCTGATGCTGCTTTAACCTCTGACTGCAGCCTCTTCATTACTAGTGTTTATGCCTCTCCTTTCCTCCCTTTTCCCCTCTATTCATCGGCTGGCCAGCCGGTCAGTCAAATCCCTGTAGTCCGGCTGGTCAAACATAGATATTACACTCTGTAATAACACTGGCCACCCGCTCTGACCCCAGCCTGCTATCCTGGCCATAGCTTTTCTTCATAAGGATAGGCACCAAGCAATGTGGTGTGGGATTTACGATAGAAAGACAAAGGATGGACTGTGCCACTCATTTATCATTGTTCTTTTATTTTTTTCTCAGCTTGTTTGTACTGCGAATTGCTTTGCTGTGCCAGGCCCAGCACAAATAAAATATAGTTCCTTTGAGGGATTGATAACTTAGATGGAATATTTACTGTTGCCTTGATAAAAGGATAAAATCAGATTTAAATATTATTATTTTGCAAACCGTCTATTGTGTGTTTGTGCTTTCAGACACCCGTACAAATACATATACAGATGCAAAGTTTAGTAATATTAAAGTATTAAGATGGAATCACCCAGGCAAAGTCTGCCTACGCAGTCTTCTTAGTTCAGTGTTTTGCCGCTGCTTTCCTGCTTTGCCTGACATTGGCTTTGACTTTGTGTTTGTAGCGTTCTTTAAGTTTCCACTTGCATGACCAGCAGCCCTGCATATGCCCAAGGATCCATCTCTCTTCAGTGCTTTTTACAAAGACAGGATTTGACCCGTGTGTAGAGGGATCTTTCGTCCACAATTGACAGTTTTCTCAGCATCAGTGTCCAGCCCTGCGGGCCTGAAGGGCAGGATTCTGCTGAACAAATGCACTAGAATCCACGGCCGCCAGTGCTCAGACGCCGGCGGGGCTTTGATCACCATCGGCTGGCGCACATCAGGCTGGCGTTAGGGCTTTAAACCAACAACCCACTGGACGGTGTAACACGGCGCTCAGTGGGACAGGCGCTGCTGGCTGCTAACTGTTTAAAAGCACGGAATGTTATTAAGTGATGCAGATACAGCGTCCGCGCATGAATGGGAAAAGAGAAATACTGTTCATTTCAGAGCGTGGGGCTGTTGTTGCTGGGCATTAGCTGTGGCATCTGAAGAATGCTGATAACACTGGCTGTCTTTTTTATTTTTTCTCCTCCTCTCTCCTTTTGACTCATCTCCTCCTTCACTCACTATCCTACTTTTCCCTCATGCGGCTGAATGGAGGGTACTTTGATGTTGCACTTACTATAATTTATAACGTTGTATTTACTGATTGAGTGTCTTGGAGATATTTTCCACTTCCAGTGTTAACAAATCTTAATAATGACAAAAAGACAAAGACAAAAAATAAAGACAAATATAAAAAAATTTTGTGGAGATTTATAGTTGAGCTGTCTGTAATGTTTTACCTATTCACATCATGTAGTGTTGTGCAGGTCTGATTTTTGTATTTTGAATATACACTAATAACTTTATCTTCCCTTTATATTTGCAGGTGAAGAGGAACATTTCAGACTTGACCAACATCCCAGTCCGGCATCAACAGTGGGAGGGATGGCCCGCCTCAGCATCTGATGACTCTGTAAGAAGCACAGGCACACAAAAACATGATCAAAAATTGAATTTAACTTGTTAGCCAGATTTACTGTAACATTACTACCGGTCAAATGTTAACATCTATCTTCACTTTATAGTGCACTGTAAATGCTGCCTTTACGTTACCCTAGATAATTAATTAGAAGATAATTAAAAGTCACAAAAGCACAAATTAAAGCCCATGGTCCACAGATTAATGATTTACATGATTTAAATACTTGCAAATTGCAGTGGAAACTGTTCTACAGTCTGTAACCCATCCCAAAACCATCTGTCAGAAGCGTCAGAGTAAGATGTTGAAGCTAATTAAGATGTCAAAGACTGTTCCCATCCTGCGTCCTCTATCTGTGGACATTAAATCTCACATCATTGAGTCCCGCTGACCTCTCCCGTCCCAGGGTCGCTCTTCCCAGCCATTCACCCTGAACACAGTCAAGCTGATCAGAAGCAGCCCTCATACAGAACCTTGTGGAACCTCTGACCCCTTTTGTCTCACCCCTTCTTTGACAGCATATGTGTTCCCATGCTAATTGTAAGGGATGGTTTATCATGCTACATTGAGGAGCTGTTGTGCACACATTCTTGTGTTAACCCCTAGCTAACGTTTTCCTTTTAGATCTATGTGATTGTTGTTTGATTTGGAGTATTGGTATTGACTTTGTTTCACTTCTTTTCCAAGTGTTATTATATGTGCCCTATGACAGAATTGGCTCTACTGTAGCAACTAGATTACATTCAATTTATTTTATAAGTAGTAGTGCGCATTTATGATTAATTAGGAAAACCTGTTTTCTATAAACAGTGCTTTGGTGGATACTTCTATTCGATATGTCACCCATTATTCATGTTTCAAAAACTCAAAGCTAATGAACAATAACTGCACCTGTTTTTATGACTCGGAAGTAAAGCTTTTAAGAATAACAGTGAAAGCAAATACATTGCACCATTAATGTGCCTAAAAGGGAAAAGAACAAAAGGTTATGCATCCTTTCACTGGAGAAGATTGTTTGCTTTATTGTGTACCATTACAGCTCAGAGCAGGCAATTGTAAAGCCGGTAACCACCAAACAAACCATACTGCTATGATGCAGATTTGTCATTGTTTGCGTTATCTTTGTAGACATCCAGATATGTGATCAGTAAATGGCCACGGATTGAAACAGAAATACAAATCTTAGTTTTAATCTGAGAGCACATTGTGGGCATGTTGCACAATGACTGACCTCATTGTTGTGCTCATGTATTATGACACCACATTACTTACTTTTCCCGTTTTAAACCACAACATGCAGCTTGTGCTTTCTGACTTTCCTGTTAACACTAACAGAGGAAGAGAGCTAACCTCTTCTAAAACAAAAAGTTTTCCACTGATCAGTGAAAATGTTATTACATCTCAAAGCTTTAAAATATACAATAATTCATTCAGCTTTGAATTTCTTTTCCTTTATATTATACTATACTACTACTACTACTAGTATTTTAAAAATGTGTGATTTAATGAAATAACACCGGTAATTTAAATACATTTCAAAATGTATTGTATATTTTGACCATACAAAAACAAGTACCTTTTAAACATTTGGATTTTTAAGTGATATTAAAGCATTTTGGTGTATATTTGCACAAATATGTGACCTGAGCACTTAAAACCAGCTGTGTAAGCTAGTTTGTGAATTTTATCACCAAGCAAACACTACCAATCTGAGTGTAATGTTAAGATAAGTAAGGATAAAGTAAAATAATTCCTTTTTTATATTTTTGTGATCTGTGTTCTGATTATCAGTGAACCTCAGCTCAGCTTCCTCGGCTCATCTACCCCCTAGGTAGCTGTGGATATGATGGCCAGGGATCATGAATAGATTGCAGCTCATTGTGGCTTCATAGACCCAGTTGGCACCTGGCTAACGCACATCTGCAGTGTCTGTGTTTCCTGGTATAGGAGATATTAAAAAGCACAGAGACAGAAGTGTAATAATGGCCTCTGCTCTAGCCGCAGCCCTCTTATTGAAACGTCTGAAGGTATTAACAGAGAAAGCCCAGGGCTTGGCTGGCCTAGCAGGCGGGTAGGGAGCCAGTGTTAGTGTCTAGCTCATTAGCCCAGTCTCATCTCCCGGGGTTTGGGCCAATAAACATGGCAGCCAGAGGCCCCAGATTACGTTTAGCTCTGCACACTAGCCCGCTTGCAGTGGAATCGATTACTACTTAACTCTGCTCTTCCTTTAAGTGTGCAATATAACTGTGTTTGCCTGCTTGCATTTACGTTTGTGTGTGTTGTGTGTTTGTGTACAATTAGAAAGGCACATTTGAAAACACACACTGTGTCTATGGCTGGTTATCAACCCTCAATACTTTTTGAGTACCAACAGAGCTGTGTCTGTTTCACCAGATTTTGAAAACATGGCATTGAAAATAGCCATTTAATGCTTGGTCATAATTTTTGTCTTGTTAACTTATTTTTTAAGTCATACATTTCCTAGTTTTATCAGTTTTTCAAATTGTATTGTATTTTCTCTAATTAAAGTTCATAGCATTAAACACTGATGCAGCTGACATTGATCTTAAATAGAAAAACATTTTCTGCAGAAAACTATTTCACTTTTTCAGAGAGAAGTGTCATTTTGGCATCAATATTGTATTGGCAACAGTATGACATTTTTGTTAACTGTCACACACCAGTGTAGTTCAGTGTAGTTGCCTCTAGCATGGATGCTGTGGCAGTTGAGTCGGTAGTTCCCTGTTCAGTTCTCAGACAGTGTGGTTGTGCTGCAGTTACAGTCGTGTGTAAAAATATATTTGTTGTGTAGGCACAAGAAGCAAGAAACTTTTTTTTTTTTTAACTATAGTTAATTTAGTTGATCAATTTGTTCAGAATATCTATTTCAAGTGTCTGTTGTTCTTGTGTTCTGAGAAAGATATTTGAGTGGTGGCATTGTTTGTTTATGTATTGTTGGAGAGTAGGAAATTAGTTTGTTTCAAAGAAATTCTCACCTTTCAGGGAAACTAGTAGTTACGTGTTACGTCACCCTCCCTGATACTGTCCACTCAACGTGTTTCATTGTTTATTGTGCTCTGAATTATTCAAGGCCTTATGGAGAGTTGAAATTGGATCAGGATGGATAATGCTCATGTAGCACTGAACAACAGATCAGTTTATTCAGTGCACTGTGTTATTGTATGTGGTGTTAGACCAAGGTAGTTGAATGTAAAAGGAAGTGGTACAAAGTGTAGTTTAAGCAAAAGCAACGTGAGGTGATGCTCATTTTCTAGCAGGCAGATTGTGTTGACCTGGATCAAGTACTGGTTTGCAATACAGTAGTTCTCAGTGTCTCAAAATGTATCTGGAGTGCATTTTTTAGGTGCCATGAGAGTAGTAGTAGATCATGTGGGGAAGCACACTGTCACTCTTTTTTTTGTTAGCATTTCTTTTAAATTGTCCAAAAAATTACACACATGATGAATTCAGTCTACTTCAATTGGATTAAAATAAACACTCCAACATAATTTTCAAATACCATATTCTAGCTCTGCCTTCAAATTCCTTATGATTCTTGTGGCTTTGGCAAAGCTGCTCTGAACAGTGCTGAAGATGCTGAGGTCTTGGCAGCTACTGATTTAAGAGGCCAACAGGACATTAACTTCCTCTGCTATTTAAATATGCTGATTGAGCCACGTCCCCCACTCCCTCCATCTCCAAACTGGCCTCATCTCATTGAAGCCATTCTGATTGACAGTCTTCCCTCCACACCTGTTGGAGTGATTGACAGCCAGTGGGACATTCTTATTACATCCCCTCATCTCTTCAACCCCCACCTACCTTTCGTTCTAGCCAGTAATTGCTGACATTTATGCAGTGTTTCATGGTGTTTGCTAATGTATTAATGCTACGGAGCCTCAGAGGTGCCTTGCCTTGTAGGCCACCACCTACCTCCATTTCCCAGCTGGCATTAATGGAATCCTCCTCTACCTGATACGGGCCTATGAAACTGAGGGTTTATTTGGGGGGGGGCTGGTGGTTTCCGTAGCAACAGGCCTCAGCCGTAAGCTCAGGCATAGGCCCCCTCCCTTGTGAGACTGGCTGGCTTCAGGTGACATTCAGCACTAAGTTAGTCTGTCTGTCTCATTTTTTATCTCTTCTAACTGTTGTTATGTGTTCTGTGAAGCTCGCATTTCACAGAAAAGGTTGTGTCTTTATTTGAGGAGGAGGATGTTCGTCCTCATTAGCTTGGTCACCCTTTAGACCTCCCACCTCCCCTCAAATTGCATACGAGCATAGAGGCACAACACCATCCTGGATGGAAGAGACAACACCTTAACACCCACTGTTACATCCCACTGACCCAACAGTCATTTGTTTATGCCTACTATATATTTATATGTGTGTGGATGTACATTACACACACTGCAGATATTAATCAGGAGAGGCATCTTCAGCAAGGCTCAGAGGAGCCTGAAAAAAGGAAACCAACAGGTGTTAAGGGTGGGGCACACTTGGCCTGTCTTTTTTTCTTCTTTTGCCTTCCTTCTCCCTATCAAGTATTAATTTTTCTCATGTTTGCACTATTTCTAACCCATACTTGTTCCTCCATCTTTTTCCCTTTACTATCTACTCTCCCCCACTAATGTCGCTGTTCTTTCCTTGCTCCATCAAAGAAAACTTGGTGTAAGGTGGTACTGTGGTTGCTGTCAGTGCAGCTGTCAGTAGTAATTATCTCACACTCGCAGCCAGACACCTAATCCAAACACTGCCTACACTAGAAAAGAAAAAATGAAACACAGCAAGAATGAAGGGAGAGAAAGGAAAAGAAAGAAGGGTAGGGAAGGGAAGAAAGGCTTAGAAGAGAGGAGTGAGGGGGGGTAAGGGAGAGAGAAAATTCTTTCCCTGTATCGGCCCCTGAATGCTTAGAACCTCAATGCAAGTGTTAATTAAAAGAATCCAAAAAAAGAGGAGCCAGTTCCTTTGTGTGGAGATGTGGGAGAGGGTCATTTGGGGGGGTTAACCTCATCCCCCCACCCCCCGTGCCCTGCGGCGCTTCAGCCTTGTTTCCACGTTTTACCACTGAGCCGCCAAGCTGCACTTGTGTACCTCAACATCAGGAGAAGCCATCGGGTCAAAGCGAGGAAGAGGATTGAGAGGCACTCAACTCATTTTTTTCCCTTTTCACCTCCCCTCCTTGCATCCATGTCAGCCCTAACCCTCCAGGCTGTCTTTGACAGGGGAAGTGATCAACTTTATTTATACACTTATTAGGCCCTCAGACGAAAGCCTCTCATTGTGAGTAGTGGGGGTAAAGGGTTTATGGGGATCCTTTCGGCAGCCGCTGTTAAGATTCTCACGTTTGATTGCCACTCGATTGAGGAATAGGCAGAATAGACTGGGGCCATGCCTTCACATCCTTAAGGCTCAGACCCTGTATGTCTTTGTCTGGTTCAATACCTACAACTCTCTCTCAGTGCTAATGCAACTCTCAGGCCTGACACCCATCATGTCTCAAATGGCCATAGCTTTTCTTTAAGTCACTGTTGTTTTTTTCTTTCGTTTAACCAAAAGTATTGCTAACGTACTTTACTTGTTTTTGTTCTATTACTTTGTAAAGTTCTCTGGAAAAATATGAATAACAGAATGATCTAATAAACAGGACCTGAGTTTTAAATTAGTTAGAGTAAAGTTACATGAGCAAAGACAAGGCAATTCAGTTAAGTGTTCTTCGTAGGTGTTCCAGGGATCAGCTGTCCTTGCTGTGACATTTACACACTTGTCATTGTCAAGAGTACACTCGCTAAACACAATCTGTTTCTTCTGTTATCTGTGTGTACACCTCTGTTACTGTGTCATGGGTGACTGGCTGTTTGAGGCCTCATAGGAATGGTTTTAATTTAATGAGAAATACAAGTAGATTTTTTCATATACATTTGTCATATATTTTACTGTTTGCTTGTCCCTTTAGCAGTGATGTCATTCTTAGTTTGTGTAGTTTCAACATTGCATGGCAGTCTAGACACTGCTTTTTCTGAACAGTTTTTTTGCTTAAGACAACATGGAGAAGGAATACTCATCAGGATGATATTCATTCTCAAACTGTCAGGGGAGATACTGTGTTTCTCATATGTTCTCCTTGGTTACTGAGCTGGTGGGAATGTAAGACACAATGGTCAATATTATGATCAATATATCCCCAGACAACTTTATATATGTATGTATATGTATGTGCAACCACATCAAAGCAACAAGTAAAATGGATGAATCCAGGGGTGGGCAATATGAATAAAATCCTCCATCACGGAATATGTATGATGATATTGTGATACTGTACTTTTTCTGAAAAATCCATTAAACTGTTCATGGACCCAAAAAACACAAGATAAATGTATATATAAAAATATTGTTCACACTAGTTGCACCTATGCATGCATGTAGCTCAGCCACAACTGTCCAAATGTTTTTTTTTGTGCAAATATTTTGGTCTTTTGTTTGGCAGCTAACTCACTTTCTAACATTGAAGAAGATAAGGTGGCGTGAAAAGATGGAAAGTAGTAGACACCAAATATTTTAGTTCTTATCAGTGCCAGGTACACAACAGTACTCACTAGTAAGTCCATGTTGCTGACATGGTCGATTGGTTACACTGTTCTCTCCTGCTATAGAAGCTGAGGCCAGTGTGAGGAACCTCTCTATTTTAAAAGAGACAGAGAGAGAGAAGCTTCCTGCGTTCTGTGTAACCCTTTTCAGACTCAATTGGCGTTGCATGTAATCGTCTCCTGATTCAACCATGTCCAGCTGCTCTTTGTGTTTCTTAGCACCTGACAATGGAGCAGATCACAGGACCTCTGCAGGGGACGAGCAGCTTCGCTGCCTCTTATCACACCCAGCCTGCCTGCCCTGCCTCAGCCCTGTTGTTTAGAAGTTCACTCTCCCAGAAAAGTTTTTGCATCTGGATTTTCCGCTTTGCCCTTAACAATTAGTACGTCAGTGAATATATTGTTACTTTATTGTGACTAGTGTCAGTGCAATCGGGCTACAAGTCATGGTTTGATTGTTTGATTGCACACCACTTTTTAAAAGCGAGGTCTCTTTAGTTTGACACTATACCCTGCAACCACCTTGCATGTATTGTTGATGTCCCTCGGGGCCTAAGCCAGGAGACACCAGCTGTAATGAGTCCCTGCTGAACGCTGACATTTTCAGTCCTGGCTTTGGGTTTAGCAGCTCATTAGTCAGGTGTTCTCTTACTACAAACCACCATCACATTAACAGGTACTGCAGGTGTACAGAAACCTCATCAAGGTTCTTCTCTGATTAGTGGGATGAGCAGAGCTGTGTTTGAAAGTCAAGTATCTCATGATACGGGCTATGCTTCTACTTGAACCCAGTCCTAAATAGGCGAACCAAAGTATAGAGGTACTTTGATGTACAATTTGAGAGTCAGTTGTGAGGTCTTGTTCTGATTAGAACAATAGTTCAGTCTAAAGTGTAGTACTGTTTACCATCACTCACTCCCCCTGATGATAGGACTCAATATAACTGGATGGTAACTTTGAGTGGGCTAAGATTGGGCCAGTAATGACATATGGTCTAAGATCTCACACAACCGGTTGCTTATTAGACTAGAGTTAATCACTCTTTCATTATTTTTTCTGTTTTTAGATGACGCTAGCTGTCTCTGGAATCAGCTATCCTTGCCATCACCTCAGTGTTTGTCGAAGGTCTTCACCAGCCAATTCCCAGGAGCCCACAGAAGAGGTATACACACAAACACTCTTTCTCTAAGCATCTATGCTGTGGATTAATGTCTATCAGGGCGCTGTGTATACATGCTAACACATAAAACATGGTAACAAAATGCTTCTGTCAATTGCTTCTGTTGAAATAAGTCTGGTAATTAATGAATAATTTATATTTACAGTGCGCAGATGTCCATATGGTCAGTGACAGCGAGGGGGATGATTTTGAGGATGCATCAGAGTTTGGTGTGGATGATTCAGAGATGTTTGGAATGGGCTCTTCTACCTGTCGGAAAGCACCTATGAGTACGTACAGTGGAGCAGCTTAATATTGTTAGAGTTCTTTATTGTAGCTACAGGTATTATATTAAATGCCAGTCACGTTTCCAAAGCTTGACCATAAACTTGCTTTTGTCCCCTTACAGTGCCAGAAAATAGTGAGAATGAAGCTGATGCCTTACTGCACTTTACTGCCGAATTTTCTTCAAGGTGAGCTGACAAGTCATTTATGGAAACAGTTTGAAAAAAGGCAGACACTTTCAAAAAATATTTAGCAGGTGATTGAATGATCTATCTATCACCATCACAGGGGGGACTTTAACCAATCAGATCATCAAACCATTCTTTGCTCTTCTTTCAGTGAAGAAATACTCTTCAGTTCTGGTATAACTGATGTTAGCAGCATCTACACTAACCTGCATGGGAAGTGTCTTGTTGCTGCGTCACTTTCAGCCCTCTGTAGCTACCAGTACTTTCTCAAAGGATGCTGATTGGTCCACCACCACTGTAATGCATAAACTGATTCTTGTGTGATCTTGTGAGTCCAGCTGCCTCGCAAGGTTGAAGCGTCAGGTGCTTAAGGTATTTATTCAAAGGACTTTGAAATCAAAGGAGGCTGGCAGATAACAGTGCGTTTATGTTTGTGTGTTCTGTAGGTATGGAGAGACCCACCCGATGTTCTACATTGGGTCTTTGGAGGCAGCGTCTCAAGAAGCCTTCTATGGCAAAGCCAGAGATGTAAGTAAGCTGATTGACTGGGGCCTTAAAGGAAGGTTTTTGGTTTATTTAGATACTGTAACAGGTAACAAAATCCTATTTTCCTTTGTCTCTTTATATTTTGCACTTTTAATTTTGACTATGTGTAAGATATGAGGGACAGATGTTACCAATGTTGACTTATCCTATAACACTGATGTAATTTCTGGTTGGTGTCGTTCAGTCGCTGCTTTTTTTTGAGCAGTTGTTTTTTGCTTAAGACAACAAAGAGGAGGAACACAGACCGAGCAGGATATGGTATTATTCATTCTCTATTTGTCAAGGGAGATACTGCGTTTCTCATATCATATCTTTAATTACTGAGCTGGTGGGAATTTAAGACACAGTGGTCAGTATTATAACCAGCATGTGCCTAGTCTACTGTTTTTCAGGCCGCAGTAAATTGTACAGTGGATATTCCTTTCCTGAGAACCATTTTCTGGTTTTCGTCAATATTGTGGTTAACTTTTTTTTTTTGCTGGAACCCTCAGTGTTGTCACCACTTCCATCCCCTGAAATGCTGCCTTTTGACACAGAGCTTTTGTTGGTTGAACACAGTTGGTAAAGCCAGAGATGCATAAGGACCAATACATGTACAGGGAGTAGACAAACGATCTAAACATCAAGAGGAAACTAACTTAACTCTGAAGTAACTTAATAATGACTATAAATATTTGGCCAAATGCCAGTTAGAAGTATTTATAACCACTAAAAGGATCAGTCTCAAAAATGATAACAACATATGCCAAATGCAGACAAACTGAACTGGCAAAGAGGAACGAAATAAAATTAACCAACAGACACGTTGAAGTTCTTTTTCATACAGTATTTACTGTCATTTGCCTACTCATTGTGTCATGCTGTGTGGAGAAGGCTTTATAGCCACATTGATATAATTTCATCAAAACCCTCATCAAATTTTCACCCTGACAGCTGAGGCTTTATTTTTAGCTGTCCACTTTCCCCCCTTGTTTTTTGGCTTTTGTCCTTTTAAGGATGCTTGTATCAACTGACAGCTTGTGTGGATTACAGCCTTATTAGACTGTGAGGACACAGCAAGATGTTAGGGGGGTTCAGATCACCAGGCACACAGAGAGGGAGGGAGGGTGAAATGGATGATGGTAAGGGCATAAAACAGAGAACATGGTCTGAAAGGAGAGAAGGGTGCAAAAAGTGAAAGACAGAGTGAGAAATAAGAGAGGAATAAAAGCATGAGCTATTGCAGGATAGGGGTAAGGGATGGAAAGAGTGTGAAATAAACCGAGATGGAAAAAACCTAAAGTGAAGCTTGGCGTCTCGCCTGTTTCCCAGCTGATCTCCTCTCCTAAGCCAGCACAATATGGCCGATGTCTCCCTGGTGTTCACACACTCTGTATTGTACCACTGTGCTCTACACAGCGCAGGGGCGAAATAGTATTCATTTTCACTGTATTATGTTTTATTCTGGGTGAGCTTGATTTAGTCTGCCAACTGTGCCGTGGTTAGAATGGCTTTAGGGAAGCTGGATATGTGCAAAGAATTTAGCATGAAAACAGAAGCTATTTGATCTGTTCTGTGTTTGTCCTGTTTTGTCAGAAGCGTCCTAGACGACAGGCCAAAACATGCTGCTTTTGACGGTTTCATTACACAGTAGCATATGTGCACGATTACACCGTCCCTTCCTCCATCTATCCAGCCATCCTATGCTTTGCTCTTTGCTTCCATTCGGAAAGGAATCTAGTTTTTGTGTCTTCATTGTAGAAAAAGCATACTTCATTAAGGGGATATTGGAATAGGGCAGATTTGACTGAAAGGGGACTACTCGGTGGGTTTATAAACAGACGAATCAGTCTCACTCTCAAAGCCTGGGAGAGGCTAATCACTAAGCAAAACACTACATTTGATGAAGTGTTTCTGAAGGTGTGTGTTGGGGGACTGTTGAGATAGACTCAATCCATCCTTAATGAAAATGCTTTGGGCTGCAGAGCTGAGCTGAGCTGAGCTGAACCCTCTTGGGGATCAGTGGTTAGTCAGAGAGTACAGAGAGATAGGCCACCCATCACTAACCACGATCCTCACTAAATCCCCATCAACGCAGTGGTTAATCACTCTAACCCCACTCTCCTCCGCTCTCCACTCCTCTCCTGTCTGCCACACACAAAGACACATCAAAATTCATAGCCTTGCTGGAAAGGGGAGTTCAGGGATTTATCACTGCCAAGTATCCGCTTTAAAACCCAGCAATAGCCTTGCAGAGTCAAGAGGAAAGAGCACTGGTGAATCAGAATGGCATATGGCATATAGATGTGCGTATATGTCAGATCTAGGGCTGTAAATCAGAACACTAAGTCACGGTTTATTGACTGCACCTGAAATGATCACTCTCATGCATAAATACATGGAATAACAGTTAAATTAATGTAGAGTGTTGCAGGCAAATATGCAGGAAACTAAGGAATGAACGTCCCTATATGTGAATATATATCACCTACATTTTATCCTCTCAACTATCAGTATATGAGGTGGAGCTTGCATAGCCTAAATATACATACTGAGCTTTAAGCATGTAATTCAAAGATGGCAATTCATTTGATTAGTTTAATCACACTTTTGAAAAAGTTCAACATTTGATGGAGTTTCTTTTATAAAGAGGTGCTTTCAGCCGGGTGTGAAGCGCTTCCTGTGTGGTTGGTCATCGATCTGAATGTGTTTTCCCACTGTGTGTTTATGGTCATTAGATCGGTCATTTGAGCTCCTCATTTTGAAGTGTTTGCTTTTCCAGACTGAGCCTGCCATCTGTATAGCAATCACTATCTGGACTTCATTCCCTCTGTACCTTTCTGTGCATGTCTCTATCTCATTCACTGGTCTCCTCTGGTCCTGTTAAACATATCGAACCGTACTAAACAGAAAACACACCTTTGATTAAACCATTATCTGTCTGTCAGGAAAAAGATACAACTTGAACCCTAGAGTTCCCCGTCAAGTTTGCTAAAAAAAAAAAAAGCTTCAAAAAGAAATTCCAGACTGTTTGATAATGTCACATATATATTGTTTGTCTCTTTGTGGCAATGCTGAGTTAGGGTGACTGGAAAGGTGCATAAGGTAAACCATATATATATAATATATATATATATATATATATATATATATATATATATATATATATATATATATATATCATATAGTCATACTCTAAGACATTATGTACCTGCTGTTGGCCTTGTTGCATCATTTCACCAGCACTGTACAGAAAGGTGATTTTGGAAACATCATAGAAAGATAAATATATTTTTACTCCATGGCCAAAAGAATACCTCATTATGATTGGCTGGAGGGTAGTGTCATTTCAGTTAAAAGTTAATACTCAAAACTTTAAGTTTCCATTGAAGAGTGCATGTTCCCAAATTTGGCAAGTGACAATGGTATAAGTGTGACTAAATGTATATTTCAGGTTCATCAAGGATTATCCTTTAAAACGTATCTACGAATGTTTTAATAATTGAAGTCATATGAAAACTCAAATTGTACTAATGTAATTTGAGAAAATGCCACGTCCTCTAGATAAGGGAAATTAAATGGTTTTAATCAGTAGTAGTAGTAGTAGTAGTAGTAGTAGTAGTAAAAAAGTAGCGAACTGGAATGATCTGAAGCAAAGGGATATTAATGAATTTAAGTATCAATGTTTGGGACTAAATTTGACTGTTGTAAACAGATTACTAGCTACTATTAGAGCTAGGATACAGGCAGACACAGGCCTTTACTGTGCTGTTGAATTCATAGTGTCAAAACCCTGTATTGTAGCTGCAGTACAGTGAACCAGATGCTCATATTTCCAGAGTCCTTATTTGGGGGGGACACCACAACACAAAATATTCAGTTCAAGCCAATGTGGTTTTGTCTTTCTAGAAAAATACTGGAATTGTAAATTTGGATGAAAATGTATAATTATTTTATTAAAGGTGGTGATGACAAAAACTCTCTAACGATCTAACTTCAGAGTAAGAGGAACATTGATTATACAGTCAGCGCTGAGTCAATGGGAACACTGTTCTACTGCGTCTTTAGTCTCTCTCTCTTTCTCTTTCACACACACACCCGCACACAAAGCAAGCTTAGATTTAGGTGAACAGGTGTGTGGAAGGGGCTGTGGGGTCACTATCTAGCTCAGGTTGGACCTAGTAATTTAGCTGAACTGAGGGATTTGCTCCTCCCTGCTAAGACAGGCAATACAAAAGCTCTGACTTGAAAGCAGAGAGGGAACAGAGGGGTATGGACAGTTTAACTAAGATGAAGGAGTTCAGTTTGCCAAAATGCCCACTTTGATTAGTCTTTACACTTGCTCTAATTGAGCATGCATGTGTGTGAGTTAGGGTACCACACGGTTAAGTTTGTGCATCTGCGCATGTGTGTGTCGGGACGTCAGTGTTTGAGCGTGTATCAGGTTGTTTTTTTTTTTTTCATGTTGTAAAACTCTCCCTCCCCTCACACTCATTCCTCTCTCAAGACTGAATTTGCTTGTCTTCTCAGCATGAGTGTTTAATCTTTTCAGGCCGTTGAATCGGCCCAATGAATGAGTCCCCAGCTCCTTCTCTCTAGGAGCCCTGGAGATTATTCTAAAGCACTAATCGTTGAGCAAACACAGCAGTGCTCTCCCATTCCCATTCTACACAGGCCACAGTATAGCACAACTTCTTCTTTCACTTCCCCTCACGTTTTACGCCCTGTGTAGATTTTTTGCTTTTTGGCGTGCGTAGCCTAGATTACTGCTCCTGAGAAACAGACCTCTTGACTCCCCCTTCACAGCCATGGTTAAAAATGCACTAAGCAGAGACCGAGAGAGTTTTTCTTATTTGTTCTTTTATAGCAAGAGAAGTGACATGTAATTTAGAGAGCATTATTTCCAACATTGTCCCCTGGAACCTTTTATGTTTGTGGGTGTGTTTGTTTTTTAATTAGATTGTCAGTAGGGAGAATCTGCCAGGCTTATATGATGGTGTCAATATCCTTGGATTTGGAGCTTCGTCAATATTGTCTGGCCCTGCCGCTACTAACCTGAACAGGCTGCTGGCATTTGGTGTAAAATAAATAGAGTGATTTGTCGGTTTTGTTTTCTCCATATCTTCGTCGCCTCCAAGAGAAGTTTTATTTACACCGCTCTCCATTTGATTTTGCGTGGTATTTGCTTTTTTTGCCAGTTGTGGCCTTGCAGTGGTCTGTGGAAGTCATGCTGGCTCTGCACCCAGTGGTCTCTCGTGTAATTTTATGGTCATGTAATGTGGAAATGTCTCTCCAGTGATGAGACACACTCACACATGACTGTGAGGTCTCAGCAGAGATCTAAGAGCAATGCATTTTTTAAGTAAATAAAAAAACTGAATTAACGCTTCATTATTTTAAGAGGCATTTGTGTTTATTAAACTTGTAATCTTGTAAGTCTCTTTTCCTCAAACTTCACAAAAGCTGTGCTACCATCTACTAACAGTGAACTGTACTCTTTGTTGTTTTGTTTCCCCTGAAACTGAATCAACTCCCAATGGAAAAAAATGAAATAAAAAATCAAGTAATGGAATGGCCTTTCCACTTCAGCTAGACAAATGCCCATAGGGAACCAGTGGTACATTTTGCTCACATCCTTTCTTTCTTTAACTTCTAATTCTCCTCTCCACAGAGAAAGCTGCTGGCCATCTACCTCCACAATGATGACAGTGTACTCAGCAACGTCTTCTGCTCCCAAATGATGTGTGCTGACTCCATTGTCTCTTACCTGAGCCAGAACTTCATTACATGGGCCTGGGATGTCACTAAAGAAGCTAACAAAGCCAGGTACCAGAGTTTGATTATTTTCAGACGACTTGCAGGTCCATAGAGCTGCAGGATTTATCAGTTATGTTATGTTGTATTTTGTTCCCCTATCTCTGTGTCTTTAGTCAATATTGCTGTTGTGATATGAATAAAGGCACAACTTAGATTCTTTTGTTTACCTATTGTATGATATAACTTTTATTATTATTATTATTTAACCATGTTGGACTAATACAATAGAGCCATAACACATAGAATGTCCATTTTATTCTGTATACCTACTTGTGGTGGACACAATAATAGTAACACTTAAGTATAATATTTCTTCCTTTAAATAATACTTTTGTGACAGTTCTAAGTAATATTTTACAGTATTTTGCTAGTATTTAAATGCATTGTAGTGTTGAGTTTTACTTTTATTGTGTCAGCTCCTGTTGCTATAACTGCAGTACCAGGTAGTTTTCAGTTTTGCCAACAATACAAACACTAGATACAGTTTTAAGCTAGAGTCCACAAAACGTTGCTAAGTGATCAGGAAGGTTTGGTCATGTCTAAGTGTAGTTTAAAGAAGTTATCAAGTAAAATATTTAAATCTAAAAACAAAGGCAAACATTTAAATGATTCCCCATATTTCAAATTGCAATAACTCATACATTCACACATAAAGCTGTCCAGTGGGATTCTGTGATTTCTGAGTCTCGTAATGAAGGTCAAACAGTTTGATAATCAATTGGTTGGTATTGATGAAAACTATACAACTATAAGAAAGTTGTTTTAAAAAATGAATTGGCATTTTAACGCTAAAGTAATTCTATGGACTTCTTAGAGAGCCTGGCACTTATGAGAATCGTACTGCATTTAGCACTGCATGCATGCATTGCATGAACCTCTAAGCTCTGACTGCAAGCTTAATTCTTACGTTTTATTTACTTACTGTCTGGAGGAGTTGTATCTAATAAAGAGGATATGGAATGTATTTGATTGTGTGCAGAGGGTTCTGCAAACTCCCAAAATACCCTTTGAAAGATCAGTTACTATCCTGTTCTACTATTTTTTTTTATACTTCTGTTAGAGGTTAATGTAGTTTTAATTTTTTATCTGCCCCATCCTGTTACATACATTTATATAGTTATTACCATTAGAAGCCCTCAGTGATTGTTATTTCAGTGTGGAGTGCAAGCTTTTAGAAAAGTGATCTAAAATGTTAGTGTGGATGGAACCTCATTTGACACATAAACAGCGTTTTCAAATCTATTCACGTTAGTGTGGACATGTCCTTAATTGCTGGCATTCAACTCTCACTCCATTGCTCACACCCGTATCTCTGCCCTCTCATTCTCTCTTCAACTTCATTCTCTTTTTGAAGCTCTGAGGTTGCATGCTAACAAAAGGCGTTGTGTTTGCATGGTGAGGCCCTTGATTGGGCAATCTTGACTAAGCTGTCTGAATAGAGGGTCAGTGGGAGACGAAGGACTCCCTTGGAGCCCAAACATCTCTATCTCTCCATTTACGCTCAAACGCTTGGTGCAGCTCCAGCAGTCTGTGTTGGAAACTGGCAGGTCTGTGCGACACCTGTTTATTAAACAGGTCTTGCTGCCAGGATGGATATTTAGATCTGGATTGTAAGTTTTGTAGAAAAATATTGGAAATGAATTTGAAAGTAAATTTAGTCTGCAGTGTGTTATGGACGATCAGTTTCCCTGCAGATTCAAGTGTTGAACTGTGGAGAGGTGGAGGTGAACTTGGACCTACTGCGGCTTTGATCAGGTTCTGCTCATTACCATTGTGACAAGCCTCAGTTCTCTCCTTCTTCCCCTCATCTTTCTGCTACATCTATTCCTTCTCCTCTTGTCTCCTTCCTGATCCTTCCATCTTTCTTTATTTCCCTTCTCTTTATCCCGCTCCCTCAACTCTCCAGAGTTAAGCCTGCCCTCTGGTAGCAGCCATTTAAGAAAGACTCGCACCCTGACCTAACCCCTCCATTATTTCTTTTAAGGAAATTCCCTCCTTCCTTCATTCCACTCTCCTTTCTCTTCCATTGGCCTCCTTTGCTTTTTGCCCCAGCTGAGCCTTTTTATTGCACATTAAAAGGCAGGCAACATCTGGAGCTTTTCATCACACACAGCTAGTCACAGCTTTGCTGCTAACGCATGCACGCTCACACATACACTGCTTCTCTGCATTCTCACGCTCTCTTGTTGATCCAAAATGACTGGTGATTGGCATCAATCACACAGGCCGTTAGAAAGGTATCCTAATTTTGTGTGTGTGTGTGTGTGTGTGTGTGTGTGTGTGTGTGTGTGTGTGTGTGTGTGTGTGTGTGTGTGTGTGTGTGTGTGTGTGTGTGTGTGTGTGTGTGTGTGTGTGTGTGTGTGTGTGTGTGTGTGTGTGTGTGTGGAACCTGCTGATATTGGAATGTGCCTGTTGCTTTGCTCTGTATTCTCACAGGCCTCCCAGTTAAATGATTAATTATGCATAAATGCAGTTCTGCTGATTGGATGCCAGTGTAATTGTTACCCATGGGAAATGAATCTGATATACCGTACCGCCGCTGTACTGTCATTGAACATAACAAACATTGAAACTATCTGTAGATAAACGCACTGAAAGTAGATCATTTGATCAGTGTGAAATGTTTTTCCTTAAATATGTTACGCATTTTATTCCACATTCTTGCTAATTCTTGATGATATGAACTCCTGTACAGTGTAGTGCAGTCCAGTACAATGGCCCAGCAATTACAGGTGTTCATGTTATTGTTAATGACCTTTGAATGTAAGTCGGTGTCTTTACCACTAAGAGCACAAACCAACCTGCAAACCTGTTCCGTACGCTTGACTTCTCCTCTTGACATCCTCCAAGGTGACAACATAACTGGTTCAGAGGGAGAACAAAATGTCATTTTCAAATCAAAACATGTCCATGTTTGCTCTGAAACAAAGTGTGTATGACACAGTGAGCTATCAGAGCATCCGGTTCCCATACATACTCCCATACAGATGGCTGGCAAAAACATTCCCTGCAGTGCTACTGTACTAACCTGACTCATCAGCTGCTCGGTGGAGCAAATGTCAGGTCTAAGCAGTCTACTTGCATCTTCACGCACTACTTTGATGTGAAGAAATGCGATGTGACAGACCAGGGAAACATTAACTATTTTAGGTGTCTGGCTATGCAGTGAGAGAGGGGGAATGGGATGGGTGACAAATTAGAAGCTGTCAATCACATTAACCATCGAAGCAGAGCCTTAAACTCACCTTAGCTGCAAGTACCGTGCAGGTGTTTCCTCTACATTTAGTTACCCCTGAAGGATCTTAAAGGCCACAGGTCTCGTACAGACTAGGCTACATTCTTTACCATGTTATGTTATGGGTGGATGAGACTATGCTGAACTGTTCACCTTAGTTTCTGCAGTAGCTTGACTTCCTCTGCCCTCAGTGTGGTGTCCATACTTGTTCTATAGGTAGATTCATAAGTGCTTCGGTTACATCGTTTCATTCATCATCATTTTTAGTTATAGTGGATACATAAAGGTTTTAGGCTGAGTTTCCTGATTAAGCAGTTTTTATGTTGTGATGATGATTTTCACTGTGGTGGACTGACTTCCTTAGTTTTGAGATATAAACCAAAGCAGGTTGGCTTGTGTTTGATGGGAGATTTAAGATTGGGTTACCCTTCAAGTTAGTGTCCATTGTTCTCTGGCCTTTCATTACAGGTTAGAGTTTCCCTGTGGGCTATTGTTATGGTCTGCCTGGGTCGAGGTCTGAAAGGGGACAAATGTCAGGACAAAATGATCACTAGTAGGATTTAGGGTACCCAACTTCTTCCTTGCAAGACGTGGGTCACTCAAAGTTCAGCTTTTTGAAAAGTTTAGCTTTATATTCCTAAAATTTCTTAAATTCAGTTCTGCTTTGAGCTCAGGTGCTGTAGCTTTCTCATTTTTCTCTGATCTTTCAGTCTGTCCGTCTGTTTCATATTTGCAGCATGTACGGGAACGATTATTACTTTAAAAACTACCACAATGAGCTCAAGTACTCAATTTCACAGTTTGAAAAGTCTGCAAGTAGCTCCCTCAGCTTTGGCTTTATGTTTTAATGAATTACACCCCCTCTCTCCGACAGCATACCTTCCATCTATGTTCTTCCTCTGACCCGCTGTCCCTCCATCCATTCCATTACTTCTCTATTTTACCAGCCAGTTATTAAAGTAGATCTTATTAAAAGGCGGGAGAAAAAGCTAATCTATATTTGCATTCAGTCTATAGCAATTCATTAATATTATGACATTTACAGGGAGCTTGGCGGGGGCCCCGGCTGCCTGCTACCCTTTTCCCTCTCTGAAATGTTAATTTAAAAAGTTCTGTCTTTGTAATGGAATAAGAAATCCTCTCTTGCCCTATCAATTCTGGGTGTCTGGTGAGGAATACTAATTCATCTACGGTTCCAATTGAGATAGCATGTCACTCTGATGGAATAAGAAAATGCAGAATTGGTTTTAAAGTCCTTAATGCCACGAGTTGTGTGTATTTCTCTTTTCTGCTGCAGTTGGAAAAGCTGGTGTATTCGCCTCGTTTTCCACATCTTGCAAAAATGTTTGTGTGTGTATTTGTGTACATGCATTCGTATGTATGTGTCTGTTTGATGGTCTATTTATTTTTTCAAACTACAAGTGCTCAAATATCTATGTGTTGATTTCCAAGAAAATGTATCACGTTAATTAAATAGAATAAAAAAGGAAATGGATTTGAATGTGATTATTTCTTTGTCTTCCAGACTACTCACCATGTGTACGAGGCACTTTGGCAGTGTGGTGACACAGACTATACGGACATACAAGACAGACCAGTTCCCCCTGCTTCTTATAGTCATGGGAAAACGCACATCCAATGAAGTTCTAAATGTTATTCAAGGTAATTACGATTTTATTAACAATATGATGAACACTGACATCTACAGATATATTTTTCTGTAATTAATGTAAAAAAATATTAAATTACACACTGTATGGGCGTCCAGTTAGCTCAGTCAGTAGAGCTGGCGACCCATATACGGAGTTGCTGCAACGGCCCGGGTTTGAATCCGACCTGCGGCCCTTTGCTGCGTGTCATCACCTCTCTCTCTACCCACCTTTCCTGTCAATCTTCAGCTGTCCTATCCAGTAAAGCCATGAAAAGGCCAAAAAAAATAACTTAATAGCACACTGTATGTTGTGATGGATGTATTTTTTTATGTTCAGGCAATACGACAGTGGACGAGCTGATGATGAGGTTAATGGGAGCAATGGAGATCTTCACAGCACAACAACAAGAGGACATAAAAGATGAGGTAAGATTTGGGTTCAGTCGGGATGCAAATCAGGCTCTGATTCTTAAACATGAAAAATCTTTTTTAATAAATGCTTAACTTTCTATTGGTGATTTCAATGGCAGGGAGAAGTAATGTTGACACGTTCCAGCACAGCATTTTGCACAGCACAGGAAACAGCCGTAAATGTTGTTGACAGAAATAAGCGCCCATCCCTGCTAATATCCCAAACCAAAAACCCAAGTTTGCATTCTTAGAGCGAAGCAGACCTCACACCAATTGTTTGTAGAGGAAGTCAGGACTGTCATCAGTGTCGACATCCGTAGAAATGGTAACAGTTAAATTACTAAAGTGCCAGACAAAATGACATGTATTTTTTCTGACCTTGGCTGCTCCTCAATTGCTGCTGTCAGTGTTGGTGTCCTCTCTGTGTTTGGGTCTTTGGGGTTTAACTCACACTTTTAATCGGGTCTATTATCCTTGTGTGTATTTCAGACAGGGTCCAACTGTCATTAGGGCCCTTTGAGTTCTGGTATCTTTTTTATTATTATGCATATTAGGTTGGAATAGGTTCTGTTTTGTACTTGTGAAGACGTATATGTACAAATAAATAACTAATTCAAACCATAAACTAATAAAAATAACAACTACTAATTACTAACTAATGTTAACCTTAATTTCCTAGATTTAGCCCATGACTATAGCCACATTCAACGCTTGAGCCAGTCTTTTACATCCTGCTTAAGAGATAAATGGCAACATGCTGGGACAGATCAGACAGCATTGTTACACTGTGGCATACTTGCAATGACAAGCAAAGAATACCTCATTCCCCTTTAGTTCTAGTTTGATGGCCAACTACAGGTTTTTTGAATAGGTAAAGGGCTCAGACTCATCTCCCATTCACGTCAGTGTGTGGGTACCACTGTGCTGCTCTGTGTCTGTCGACTACCTCTTTTACTCTAATAGAAAGTGAACAAACATTGAAGGACACACTCCATACAAGAAAGTAAGGGAACGTTGGAGGTAGTCTTTCATGTCATGGACAGTGACTTACATCTGACCTAACCTTCTTAACCACTTACGGATATGTTTACTCAGTGACAAACAAGCAAAGACAGACTGTGTCCAAACACGTAGAGTAATCCTCCCTTTTTCTCTTTCACTTTAATAACTTATTGTCAGAGGTTTAGGAATTAGTAACAATAGAGAATATATTCTTTGTAGACTAACAAGTGTTTTTTGAATTATTTTTGGTCTGTGCAGTGTGTGTCAGCTCTGAAATCCTTTGTCATAGTCGCTCTTATTCCCACACTTTTCTCTCTAACATTGTTGTGCCTCTTTTTGACTACTGTATCTATAGATGACAGATGTCACACCATATTAGGGGTTTAAAAGTCAGTCAACCAAACAGCCTCTCTAACAATGCTAACGTGAGTAGTCTTAGCATTTCAGTTATGGGAACTATGGTTAAGGAATGAATCTTGTCACACACACACCCTGAGGGTTAGACTTCCTCAGGTGGGTTACTGAGTTTCGAGTGACAGCTATTCCCTTTGTGTTGTTATTATTGCCACAATGCTGTGGCTTCATTTTGGATTTGTCACTCTTTTCACACATCAAATAATCATTAACGACAAGAAGTGACAAGAAGTGGTATTCAGAGTATGTACATGTTTCAGATCAGTCCCAATGCAATACCTGAGTACAGATACCAAAATGATACTTTCTCACATCTTTATTTTGATAAATAGAAGCATATATTTTGTTTAGACAACATTTGAGAACTATATGTTAAACGCAAGCTGCCATACAAGAACTTTGCCAAGACTAAACTGGCAAAATGTACATTTAAATCATGACCTGACTGGTTACTAAATAACTAAACAAGAATTACACTTTTCTTTTCTTGGAGGCTGATTTGTTTTTTGTGCTTAGAAAGCACAAGATAATTTTGTCTTTATCTTTCTTCTTCATACCATCTGCACAAAATAATTGTATTTTATTACCACATTAGTATCACTTCTTTTATAAGCATTGCAACAACTGGCTTGAGATCTGTCAGAGAAATAGGAAATCAGATTTGCCATGGCATAAGAGTGTAGTAAAGCTGTTCTGAAACGGTATTAAAGTGTGATAATTACCCAGGCGTGGCCTGCCAGAAGGAAATATTTTGTGAAAATGTCATAAGAAGACAGCGTGGAGAGTGTAAGTGATGTTGAAAGCATAATGTTTGAGTGTGATTATTCATGATTAGTACCAGTAACCACATGATTTTAGTATATCCTGTATCTGACAGGATCTATCCCATCTTCAAAGTGAAGTCAACCTTGACACTGGACTAATCCCATCTTTACTGTAGCAGCTCTAAGGTGTTTGGTGAATTTCCCTTTCTCTCTAGATCCCTTCCCTCTCTCTTCTTTCTATTTTTCCCACCTCACCTTTCCAAAGACAAACTCAGACACAAGCACAGACATCCACACAGCCTAGACATTCCTATCTGACAGTGACTTTTGTGTCTGTCTGGAAGTGGAGCAGCTGGACAGCCACATTGTGCCTTCAACCAACCTTACTGACTCGCCACTCATTCCTATGGTTGTCTGTGTTTTAGCTTAGTAGTTAGTAACCGACTGACGACTCACTGCAGGTTTTGTGGTCTGCATCTGTCAGCACTACAGGCCATTTTCGGGTCAGGCCATTTCACAAGCATTTTATGTGAAGAGCAGCCAAAAATAACCAATGTTTAGTTTTGGTCAAGGGAACTAAACTTGATACCAAGCTCTTTTAGTATTGGAGGACACTGAAACACCCAGGGGGAACAAAATAATAATGTGCAAGGTCCACAGAGAGGATCAGAGCCAAGATTTAATTCTGGACCTTCTTGCTATGAAGTGACAGTGACTTCTAACCATTAAAATAGGACTTTAATAAAACCAACCTGATGAGTAGCCAAGATATATATGTGTTTCTTTTTTTTCCTCAAAAGATAAGGTCTTTAAAATCACATTGAGTCTGAGCAGATACATGGTAGATTAATGTTTCATGTCATACCTCTCCCGCCCATTAGGTCATTCATAGCAGATGATGCATTTGAGAACACATTACAACAGTATAAAATGAGTATTAAACATGAGCTACTGTGCGACTTGTTTGCGTGACTCAGGGCCAGTCTATTGAAGGTAGCCACTTTTGATGCTTTTGTCCCTCTCTACCATTCTTTTACAGTTTCCTTTCAATGTTCATCTATTATGCGGGCCAAAAGCACAAATGTATCCTTTGCATTTTCCTGATTGAATACAACAATACACACTGTGCTTTTGCTTAACCACTCTTTAGCTGCACAGTAGCCCTCTGATCATCACAATAAGCTTACTTTGCCATGTCCGGGCTGGCACACAGCATGGGCCTTCAGAAAATACAAAACTAATGGCTGTGCACTGTTAACACAATGGACACTCGTATTTAGTCCCAGTCTTTATAAAACACTTTGTAGCCACAGCAGGTAGAAAGAGAAGGGCCGCCTGTCCCCTACCCTCTGTACAAACAGGAAGAGAGAGGCAGAGTGAATGAAAGAGAAAGGGATGGTGAAACTGAGATGAGGAAACATGAAAGAGGCTCGGGGTCTGGTAAATGACAGCCTGGTCACAATGAATTCCCCTCTGGTGCTACTCTTTCATACCTGGTGTTTGTACGTAACCACACTTGACATGCTGCATTTTCTTTTGCTTGGTTCTTTCTGGCTCCCACACCCGGCACCTCAGCTTAGATGTTTTGTCCTTGTGTTTCCTTTTATTATGTTGTTAGTCAATGGCCCCCACTTTATTTCTCTCTCTCTGTACCCAGGACGAGCGCGAGGCAAGAGAGACGGTGAAGAGAGAACAGGACGAGGCCTACCGTCTGTCTTTAGAGGCTGACCGTAAAAAGGTATTTTCAAAATAAAAGGAATTGTCTACTTAAATCAGTGCACTCTGAGTTATTTGTGCTATACTAGACAGTACGTGTAATTTGTGAGTTTAACCAAAAAAGCATAAGCACCACTTTTTCCTTAAACAGGCATTTATAATAAACCTTTACTTAAGCTACAACTACTAAACTAGTGACTGCTGTTGTTTTGAATGCTACAGAGCACAAAAAGCATATTAATGAAATACAGTGATCCTCGGGGTGAAATAATTACTCAAATAATTGATTAGTCAATTGACAGAAAGTTATTCTGCATTTACCTTGATTATTGATTGTTGATTGAACTGTTTAAGTCCTTTATCAAGTAAAACATTCCAGTCCAGCTTTAAAATTGGGAGTATTTGCTACTTGTCAGATTTTGTGTCATGTCATTAGCTTGTATTATAGATCTAGTGACTTGAGTGGCTAAAAGTCACCTCTAATAAAGGATCAGTAACAATTAGGAAACATAGTAACAATATTTAGCACTGCACATCACTCAGTATTTTGATTTTGATTCTGATTCTGCTGTTACTTTTCTTTCTTTTTCAGAGAGAAGCCCAAGAGAGAGAAGAGGCCGAGCAGGTTCGCTTGGAACAGATGAGAAAGGAGCAGGAGGAGGAGAAGGAGGTGAGAAGAACAACAACATACACATCATGCACACATTATGCAAATTACCTAAATTAATATTCCAACTTTATCAGTGCAAGGCTGAACGGCGATATGTTTTGCTAGAGCACAGTGATTATGCCATTGTGCTGTCATTTTTTTTTCTGTCTTGGTCTCACTTCACAATAATGAGTCAATTAGATTGTGGTTTTGGTGAAGCCTGCCAGTCAGTGAAGCGTGTGTTGTGTTGGATGAACAGGCATACAGCCATTTCAGAAGAGTGAAATATCCTAATTAACAGTGAGGCCCATCCCTGTTAATGTCACCTTACATACACACAGTTATTGTTCTATTTAACTGCTTTACATTGGTATAGCACACAGCGCATAGCCATATTGAAACCCAAACGAACAAAAGACTGAGGCAATTCATGTACACAGGCTTGTGCACACACAACCTAAGCAAACACACATATTCACTTGAAAACAATTATTGTATGTGTAGAGGGGGCACACACACACACAGAGACACAGGCAGACACACTGTCACGCATGCAGGAAAAACAATAATTGCCTGTGAGGATGGTACCAATGTTGTAATACAGTCTATAGTAATACAGTGTAGTCCTTGCTGATTGTTGTTTGCTCAACAGCAGAGAGCCTGGGGGCACTGAGAGGTATTGGGTGACCCGGCTCGCTCAGGTGATTTGTCACTAAAGTTAAACAGACGACAACAAAAGTGGGCCGGGCCGGGCCTTCTTAATTATATCACTGTAATCCACTAACCAAACTCTGTGTGCACGTTTGTGTATTTTAAACAACAATAGCCACTACAGCCTTGTGTTTCCTACTTGCATCAATTTTCTCTGGCAAAGCTCAATGGTTTCCATGGTGTCTCCTGTACTAACATACTAGTGTTGTGCTTGTGCTACAGTCTAGATATTCATAAATACAAGAGCCAGCAACAGCTGCTGGACCCGGACAATGGCAACCTACGTTTCTTAAACCGTTAAGACCTAAAATGGATGAATGTGTGTACGTCTAGTTCTGATGAGCTTAGGTCCACTGATACACTGACAGACAAACAGGTGAAAAGAAAATTGGGTATCCCTTTATTTGGATAGCCCCACTACAGATAGTTTATAGAGTATTTGTAACACTGCTGTGGTTGAGGGTTAGTTAGGTTTAGGCACAAACAACTTCTTGGTTAGGGTATGTTCATACACTGTCACATAAATATAGATAATCTGTTAAACATACACAGACAAAGCGAAACAGTTGAAATGTTACAAATACTCAGCTGTCTGTAGGCAAACTATCCAAATAAAATGTTACCAGTCAGTTGATATTTGGATGGAAAAAGAATGCAAACATGTTTTATTTAAAAAATATATATATTCTATAGCAAAAAAAATGTGAGAGATAAAAGAATATATATTTCATTTAAAAATATATATATAATTTTTAGATTATAATCAATAGATGTAAGACTGCCAGGATATTGGGGCAGCCCAATTTCTACTTGATGGAGGCATTTGTCCACCACAGACATTTTTGCTTTATTGATTTATTGTTATACTATACAATTAGATCAATCAGATTAGATAATTGTTTTCATATTAAAAAATTATAATGTTAAAGCTGAGAAGATGAAGAGCCTACCATGTGAGCTTTACCTTTGAACTCAGGATTTATTTCATTTTTGTTGTTGTTCAGTTTTCAGTTGAGTCTTATGAGGCAGTAGCCTACTGTATATGACAGAAACTGCAGACGCAACAAAAACATCAGTTGCCACCAGAGAGCGGACAATGCTTGTGGGAATGCTTTCTCTGTGATTTTGTGCCTTTGTGCAAAGAACAGTGAGATGAAAATAGGAGCTGGTGAATTGAGGGGCAGGGGGGTGCAGTGTGTATGTGTTTCATGTCTCTGTGTTGGTTGACTTTACTATTTACCTCCTTCAGGGGGTCTTAGCATACAGTTGTGTGGCTGTCAGGTGCACACCCATCATCTGTTTGCTTTCTGTGGTTAGCCGCGCGGAGCTGGAGTGGCAGATAAATGGACGGATAGATGCTTCTGATTATGTGTGTGGAACAGCCTGGGCCCGAGGCTCGACCAGACGTGTGTCCTGTGGTTTCTTTAGGGACGCTACCTCTCACTTGTGTGGGTGTTTATGCTTGTGTCTGTGGTTGACTCTGTGTGTCTGTGTGTGTCTGTGTGTGTCTGTGTGTGTCTGTGTGTGTCTGTGTGTGTGTGTGTGTGTGTGTGTGTGTAAGTTTGTCCCCGGGGGCCCCTTTAACTCAGTCAGCATCAGCTCTTTTACCTGAGGGAGCTGATGGCGGAGTGGCACGCGTGCTACCCTGCCCACCCAACACCAGAAGCTGCTAATGAGCTACTGTTGTACACTCTTATGAAATATAATTGCATTATGGTGTGTAAATAAAGCCGGGGCGTGTTGTCACAGCATATGCTCCCCGGCTGGCCAAACAGGAACAACAAGCCTGGGGAGGAGGAGGTGAGGGGGGCAGGAGCAGAAAGAGGAGGAAGGCTCAAGGGAGCGGCTGAAGCGCGTTTCTTGGAGCACAGGAGAGCTGGAGAGCTGATTAGCTTTGCTGTGGAAGATGACAGTTAGTTGTTGTCTTTGGGGTAGATGAGCCAATTTTGTGTCTATAAAATAAGTTCTCAACTCTTATGAAACCACACTTTAAACTATGTGTGGAAGACACTGAGATATTCAGCAGGCACAATCTCAGTTTTCCCAAACAGACTGAGCAACAGCAAGAAAGCATGAAGCACCAGGAATACACTTCCTGAATACATGTTTTTTAACGTACTGAAACGCTTCTTGGCAACCTTCTGAGCTACACCATGCTTTAGGGAACAGGGTGAGACACAGGGCAACTAATTTAATAACATTCTCAGGACAAGAAGTTCTTTTAATTAATGTCAGGCAACAGTGCTGCAATCCACTTCTTGGCTTGTCTTTCAAACTTGTTTGGATAGTGTGTCGTCATTTTCATAACTGCTAGTGTTACTGTTGAATCTATGGTTTAAATTTTCTATAAACAGAGAAATGTGGCTTTTTTTATACTTTATTGAATCTCAGATTTTTTCTTTTGTATTCCAGAGGACTTTGTATAAGCTTCCTGGCTTCCTTCCTCTCCTACATTTATCCATTTAGATTTATCATTGTGTGTCTTTTAACATGGTGTTTAATATGTGCAAACAAATAAAAAAGCCGAATTAGAAAATGTTTTAATCAGGAAGACATTTGTCCTCCTTTTAATTATTTTCTAGCTCATTTTGTTTATTTTAGTTTATTTATTTAATTGATCTAATTAATATTGTTTTTATTTTGACTACCTGTCACAGCATTGCTCATGGCGCTGACTCTGCTGTCAACAAACTGTAAAATTAATGAAATATATAGAGACCTTGTAATGTTAATAGGCTTGAAAAAAAAGTGTACATAATCCTTAATATCTTAAATTTTCCTTGATTCATCTTCAAGTATTAGTATGTAATAGAGAATGCAGCAGTTTGTGAAGTGAGGAAAAACTGTCCAGTGTGATCACAAAAGAATTTGATTCCTATGTTGCCTCTGTCCTCAACTAACAAGGAAGTCCACCTTTGAACAGCTAGTCCATTTGCATAATAGAGATATGAATCTCAATGTGCTGTACTGACTAGAATACTGGATTCTCTCCACCCCTTCTTGCAGGCAATCCGTTTGTCATTGGAGCAGGCCCTACCGCCAGAGCCAGAAGAGGATTCAGCCGAGCCAATCAGCAAACTGCGAATCCGCACACCGAGTGGCGAGTTTCTGGAAAGGCGTTTCCTGGGCAGCTGTAAGCTCCAGGTCCTCTTCGACTTTGTGGCCTCCAAGGGATACCCCTTTGAAGAATTCAAGCTCCTCACCACCTTCCCTCGTAGAAATGTAAGTGGTGTATATCTTACTCTACTACAGAGAAAGCAAGCACACGTTTACAAAATAATTAACCCCTTTTGCTTAAACATACACCGATCAGCCATAACATTATGAGCACTGACAGGTGAAGTGAATAACACTGATTATCTCGTTATCATGGCACCTGTCAGTGGGTGGGATATATTAGGCAGTGAGTGAACTCGGAGTTCATGTGTTAGAAGCAGGAAAAATAGGCAGTGCGAAGATTTGAGCGACTTTGATAAGGTCCAAATTGTGATGGCTAGACGACTGGGTCAGAGCATCTCCAAAACTGCAGCTCTTGTGGGGTGTTCCCGGTCTGCAGAGGTCAGTACATATCAAAAGTGTTCCAATGAAGGAAAAGCGGCGAACCATTGATGCACGTGGGGAGTGAAGGCTGGCCCGTGTGGTCCGATCCAACAGTCGAGCTACTGTAGCTCAGACTGCTGGAAGAGTTAATGTTGGTTCTGATAGAAAGGTGTCAGAACCCACAGTGCATCACAGTTTGTTGTGTATGTGACTGCATAACATTATTACCACCAGCGTGTCCAGGTGGTCATAAAGTTATGGCTGATCGGTGTGTGTGTATATATATATATATATATAATATATATATCCAGTAAAAGGGCTTTAAAAGACCAGCACATCTAAGCAGCGTACCAAGTGGAGAGGGAAAGACTTTTGAATTATCCCGTTGTCCAATCTCATTTTGTGCTGTTTTTTCATAACAGTTCTCTGCCCACACAAACAAGTGCTAAATTCATCCGTACCGCAGAAGAGTAGCAGCAGGTTATGAAGGGTTCTCGGCCACAGCTCACATCTCTGCTGGATAGATCCACAGCTGTAATTGGCTTTTCCATTTGGGCCTGGGCTGAACCTCAGGCGATATCCGCGAGTGGCGAGCAGCAGGGATAATAGTTAAGACAATCTGCTGTTGATGTTTGATTATTTAGTTTTTCTTCTTTGCTTTTTATCATGATTGTCTTCATTACACTGACGTATCACTGCTTTTGTTTACTCGTACCTGTGATGGGGCAAGTTAAGCCAATTGTTTATCCATCCACCTGCGCACACGTATTATTCAGTGAATATTAATTAGTATCAGTCTGTTGTGAATACAGTACACTATGACTGTGTTAGGATACAGTTGTCAGCACTAACAGTGGTATTCTCTATGGCTCTTCTGCTGACGCCCGGCAGCACTCAGTCAGCTACAACCAGTCATTAGAGGGCTTGGTCGCCGCGCTCTGTGGTAGCAAGCTAATGAGTGCTGTTTTAACTACCAGTTTAATTAGCCATGCTGCTGGAAACAAAAATGAGATTTCCATTAATCAAGAGGAGGAGTGCATGTGGAGGGGTGGTGGGTGGTTGTATAGAGGTGTGTGTATGTATGTGTGTGTGTGTGTGTGTGTGTAGGCTTGCCCAGGCAGTGTGCCATCATAGTCTGTAGAGACCACTGGGGCACAAACACCTCAAACTAACACACACATTAACACGTAGCTCACACTCTTCATTTCGTCACAATCACACACTTCAACACATGCACAAATATTTTCAAGCAAACACATGCCCCGCTCACAACTTTGTCACTTAAAGGATTCACAGTTGTCTCTTTATAATCAAGAGTAAACATGTGTTTGAGACAGAGATAAAGATGTGTCTGCATCGCAGATGAAATTCCGGCAAAAACAGGATGGGAGGATTAGAGGGGTAGAGAAGCGAGAAGAGGATGGTGACTGCAGAACTAGTCGAAAAAGAGAACAGAGAAGACAAAAGCCTAAACAAAGAGAAGATTTAATCAGAGAAACAGTCTGAAAGAGAGAAGGATAGAGAAGACAAGTGGGGAAGATATTAAAAAGAAGAAGATGGGAGATAATTCCAGAAAACAGAAAGGCGAGAGATTTGGGGAAAGAGAGGAGGGAAGCGGCTCAGTGGTAGTGCCAGTATGAGGCTGTGAACACAGGCCCCTGTCTAATCCTGCAGCTCTGTGTTGTAATTAAATGAGAGGGAGCATAGAAAGCCTCCATCCCGTCCAGACGCTCTCACTGTTGCTCTGCCAGGATCAGAGGATAGAGGATAGACCACTATTGCATTTGTAATACTGCACAACTGTTGAAACCTTCTTTCCCTTTTCTAGTTTTCAGCAGCTTTGTGCAGTGTCACTCTTTCTTTTGCTATTTCCCTCCTCGTCAGCCCGCTTTATTTCATTTCCATTCATTCGGCTGGAACACAAATCAGTTGATCTGCTCAATCCAACTTAAGGAAATTAAGTGAAGTTGTGTCGAACATTGTTGGCTAAAACTACAACATTATTGACCAGGAGAAAGCGCTATATTGTGAATTAGGAAGTCTGGTAACAGGTTTATTCCAATTTGTAAATCAACTTCTGAGATAAACAGAGTCAGATCAGATATCTTTGATTCATGATTTTTTTTTCCACCTTCTCGTAGCTTTGCGGATAAGTGTCTATTAGTCTCCAATTTTTGGACTGAGTCTCTTCCTCAACATTTGGTATCAGTGGCTTATCTCTTCAGCACTACAGCAGGCCTTACACTGGCATCATTTGTACTAGGCTTAGCCGTGCTCAGGGAACTAACCCTTTCTCCGTTTCTATGACTGTCAGCGAGTTTGAGGAAGGAGGGGGAGACTTTTAGTGTTTCAGTTTTCAGCTTGTCATTCAAGAATTTCCTTCTTTTTCTTTGATACTTGTTGAGCACAAACCACTGTTGAAAGGCCCGAGGTCTTCTTCCTTCTGCTCGCGGTGAACATGTTTAGACTGCCGGTATAATCATCGTCAGTCTGTTCTTCCTGCTCGGCTGCTCGTAGACACCCAAACGCTGTCAAAGCAGCATATTAGTTTTCTCACTGTGATACTGTACTCTATTTCACCCTCTCCTAATCCTTCTTCCAGCTCTGTCAGTGAATTGGCCCGAATGATTCTTAGACAAAACCTGAGATGCAGGAAAAATAAACAGTGGCACAGAAGAACCTGTGTGTTGTATTGAAATAGATTTTACATCTGTTATACCGGCGTGTTTTGTTTTTCTTATCCTGCTATCTGAAAGAATCATAGTCGCAGGAAGAACTGCAGCAGTTTATTTTAAAAGTAGTTTCACTCAAAGTTGCTTCCTCAGGACTGTTCTTATAATATAATCTCCACATAACTCAAACCCACAGCTTCATAGAGCTGTATGGCACTCTGTTTCAACATGGATGTGAAATGTGGCTCTATCTGAGGCCATGTACACAAGCCAGTGTCTCCCTGATCTCTTTAAGTCCTCCTCCACTCAACAATGTGTTTTGCTCATTGTAACTTCACTGGGATGTTTGATGCTAGATGGTTGCCGTCACATTTATTTGCTGAAGGTAAAGGTTTCTCTGGCCTCCCGTTAGATCTCAGTTCAACATGTGAAAGTACAAACTGATTTTGTGACATCATATAGTGGTTCAAAATTCAACTTACACAAGCGTGATGTGGAAACAGAGACTTTTCAGTGAAGTAGGAACATGAACAATATTTGCATATTCATAGATTCTGTATATTTCAAGGAGGATAAAGGAGTAGATTTTATGAGGTAATGGAACTTGGTTACTGGAATAACCACAAATTATTATTCAAATGAGACTTTTTTTTTTTTTAAATGTCTTAAAACATGTCTAGAGGGAATCTTTAGTCTTTAGCTGAGTTTTACCCTAAGGATTTCCACCCCCTCCTCACCTTGTCGCCCTCTCCTTCTCCTCTTCTTTCCAGATTTCCCTCCCTCTGTCTCCCTTTTCCCTCCTCTTTCCTTCTCCTCCTGCTTCTCTACCTCGCAGCTCACACAGCCCCCGTCTCTTGCAATGACACTTTTGTTTTGCATTCCAGCTTTTGCATCTTTATCCATTAACTTCTCATTATTTCCCCAAAATCTTTTTTCCCCTTCAAAACATACCCTTTTAAATGTATATTTTAAACATAAACTAGTCTCTCTTAATTTTCTCTCACTTTGCTTGCGCTCTCCTTTTTTCTTCTTCCTCAATCCCTGTTTTTCAGTTTTTCCCCTCAGTCCTACCCCCCGTCCAGCCTGTGCGGTGCATTTATCCCTTTGAAGTACTGTTTTCTGGTCTGTTCTTTTCTGTTCACGCCCCGGCGCTACGTGCTGTCAACGCTCCTGGCAGCAGATAATGATCTCCCACTGCTTTTGTAATTGGCCAAATAAACACTTGACAACACTAGTTTAAAACAGACAAGTTATTTGGTTTTAATTAACATAGTAGGGCCTGTAATGGCTTCATTAAAAATGCGTTATTTCAGCTGCACGTTTGATTATGTTGGAAGCGGACATCTTGAGGGCCTGTGTTTATTTTCCCTTTCTTTTCTCTCATGGCTGAGCGTCGCCTCCTCTGTTATCAGTGTGTTTTATTCATTTGAATCAAGTGATTTACAATTGTGGTATTTATTTTAAACTTCACATTAAGTGCTAATTATGTGGTTTTAACCATTGAAATCTGCTGTTTGATAATGCCAAATACATGGGGTTGATATTAGCTGATTATTTTATGTCATACAATTTTTTATAGGGAAATAAAGACAAAATATCAAAGATTGCCGAGAAGCACCATCTGTCTTTTTAATTGGTTCCAGTTTTAAAATTAGGCTTTTTAATGCTGAGCTTCCAGATATTGTATTATCTCTTTAGATTTTGCTTCAGGCAGACGGAGTTCAGTTCGGTTTTTATTGTGTTAATTTGTGTATTTTTAATTAACAGCTGGAAAACCGTTTTTCCCATAAAAGCAATTTAGTCGGATGAAAATGTTTTGAAATGAATTTGATCTTTTGGAATAGTCAGACAGTTCCCTTATTCAGCTGATTGATTTGATCTAAATTGGCTGATGAAAATTATATTGACTCAAGGTTAAAAACAAACTGCAAAGCAGAGAGTTAGATTTTGTCTGTCTTATGTATGTATGTATGTATGTATGCATGGCTGTGTAGGCACAGGAGGAGAGAATATGGCTTAGGCAGAGCAGAGGAAAAACAACAGCTTTGTTTGTTGACAGATGCCTCCATGCTTATGGTCTGTTAATTGGATAACAATGTAAACAATCACCGATGGCGCCTGTCTCCTGTGTCAGTGTGGCATCTTGTTTCCCTACTTTCTTTTTCAGAGTCAGATGCTGCTCCCCCCGCCGTCTCTCCCTGGTGCATCACGAGCACAAACTCTCATCCCGAATTCACTAAGAGCACACACATCCACACACGCTGATCTGTAGTCCACAGACACACGTCTTCTTACACACACGCACACACACACACACACACACACACACACACACACACACACACACACACACACACACACACACACACACACACACACACACACACACACCTGCTCCACCCCAAAGCCTCATTTACTCCTACCTGATGCTGTGGTGTCATAACAGCCTGTCGGGTTCATTAGCATGGCAGCCATTTGCGATCTGTGCTCCTGAGGTGGGAAAAAGAACGCAGCAGCCCTGTTGGTCGTTTTCCCCACCGTTGGGATGAAATATGTTTGCAGCAAACACACACACACATCATATTACCTCTCTTCATGGAATCTCGCTCCCTGCTGTGCTATGAGGCAGCTGAGTAGGTGAGGGGCATAGGGTTGATGTGGCAGCCCCTCCCTGCCCACACCAGGCTCCCCAGGAACCCGCTGAAAAGTCAAGAGTCTAAATGACACGTTGAAATGAGGACAAGGAGATGAAAGACATGGAGCCAAAGACCGCCGACGTGCACATGGTGTGACATTTCCAAACACCCATGGGAGACGGAGGGGTTGTCTGATGCTGATATGTCCTCCTCACCTTCCCCTAATTTACTTGCCTTCCTTTTTCTTTTCTTTTTCTCACCCTTGAACACCCTCTAGTTTTACAGAAATGTGTAGATTGTTTTAATTATTTTGAGTTGTTTACTCATATCAATGCTGATTTCTTTCATTTTCCTGAAAGCTATAAAATAAAACCGACAAAAATAAAGTTAGAGGTCCTCTTTTGGTTAAAGTGGTATGTTCATTCATTAGCACTTGCACATTTTAAAATGCTTGATTGTTTTGATACTAATAGAAGTAATAGGACAGATTCTGCAGAAGGTGAAGTTGTGGTTCAGTTCATGGTCTGTCTCACTCTATCTATCGCTTGTTGTGAGGTCGACCTTTACCACGCTAGCTTGCCCTCCGACCTTCTACAGAAAGTACAGCGAGCTGGTTAATTATCCCACTGTGAGGTTAGAATAGGAACCCTAATCAGAGGGGCTGACGCAGCAGTCATCAGATAAGCCCTGGACACATCTTGCACCACCTCGCCCCTTCAGCCCAGGTGTTAGATTGGCCCGCTGTAACTCAACCCCTCCGGTGATTAGCTCACATAAGCTAAGAGGCTCACAGTGGTGGTGGGTGTCAGAGAGAGAGTCAGATTGTCCTGTTTTAAAAAACATAGGTCAGACCCCCTTTCATGTCAGCTAACTCGATCAGCTCCGTTGTGGGTGGCGCTGCATTATTCCTCTGCTTAGCTGTTGTGCAGAGTTGCACACAGATAAATGTTTCTCTCTGACACCATCAACTATGTTCCTGTTTGACCTTTTGACAGCTGAAATTAGTCATCACTACATCACTATCAAAAACACGCTCTATCCCCGATACTCTCTGTCTCACACGCACACACACACGCGCACACACACACACACACACGCACACACTCCAAAGAGCTTTTAGAACACTCTCTCTCCTGTCCTGTAGCCTTCATCAGTTTGTTCTGGATTGGAGCCTTTTTAAGAAAACAAACCTGATGGTCCTCTTAGGGAAACAAAGCTCTAGTTGCTCAGATTACTGCCTAACTTTTTTTAAAACATCATGTTAGAATAATACACACCGTTCACACTCTCTTACAAACACACACACACACACACACACACACACACACACACACACACACACACACACACACACACACACACACATTGAATGAACTCAGCAGTAAAACTACATTGTTATCCAGTCTGGATCGCAGGGTATGTATGGAAGAATGACTGAGGCCTTGTCCGCACTAATTTGGATAAATCTGAAAACGCCATTGAAGAGGTTTGGATATTATGGTTAAACCAGAGATTTTAAAACATAAATGCTTGTGTGGCATTGCTCCTTGTAGACAGTCATAAAATTTAGTCTCACAGTATTGTTGCTAATACTAGTGTTTCTATCCACTTTGCTCAGCACTTTCGTTGAGATCTCTTACGGTTTTTGAAAATGGCAGCCCAGTGAGGATGCAAGGCCAAAACAGGACAAAAATGTAAGGCATTAAGTGGTGCTGAAACAGTTCGTCAATTGATGGATTAGTCCATTGGCAGAAAACTGTATGCCAACAAATTTGATGATTGTTTTTTTTTTAATACCAAACATTTGCTGGTTCCAGATTTGCTGGTTCCGCCTCCTCAAATGTGAGGATTTGCCGCTTTTCTCCATTGTTTCTGGGCGATGGGCTGTTGGTTTAACTAAGCAATCAATCTGGGAAGTTGTGATGGGCATTTTTTACTATTTTCTGATATTTTGTTCACTGAATGATTAATTAAGAAATAAAAAATAAAAAACCTGTCAAATGAATCAATAATGAAAATAATTGTTAGTTGCAGCCCTGACGTTAAGCCATTTGGTGATTTATCTAATATTTTCCCTCTTCTTCCTTCCACCTTGTCTCATCTCAGATCACCCAGTTGGATCCAGGGTCAACTCTGCTGGAGGCCAAGTTGTTTCCACAGGAGACGCTCTTCCTGGAGGCTAAAGAATAGGAACTGGCCCTCTGATAGCTGAGAGGACCGACTGACTGACTGATGAACTGGCTGGACACACACTAGTCACCGAGCATGGGCCCCCACCAGTCTGGGCCTACAGTATACACACACACGCACACACACACACCCCCACACACACACACACACACACACACACACACACACAACACAAAACCATCCTCGCAGACGTACATGAACACACTGGCATGCACATCCAGTGACACACAAGTGCAAGTAAGCTTCTCTGCCCTCGGCCTAGTCGTGGCACATGAATGCCTAGTGTACACGTGTTGCACAGAGGAGCAAAGACAGTATCACAAGCACACAGCCAAACATTCACCTCCCCCAAATCTCTCTCTCTCTCTCTCTCTCTCTCTCTCTCTCTCTCTCTCTCTCTCTCTCTCTCTCTCTCTCTCTCTCTCTCTCTCTCTCTCTCTCTCTCTCTCTCAAAAAAACTCCTCTCACACACTTTTTCACAATCTCACGTTCCCAACTGCTGTGTCATGGTTTTTTCTCACAACACGAATACAACACTGTACGCAAACGGCATTGAGAGACTGAGTCGACAAATCTTTGTCACAGAAATAAAAAAACATGGACTTGTTCCCCTTGTTTCCACATTCAACACACCAAGGCTGCTTTTTTAGAACATGGTTTTTGTGTTTGAAATCAAAAAAATGCTAAAAAATTAAATAAGATAAAACAGCAAGAAGAGATGTTGCCCGGGGAAGTCTGGGCCATCTCATCTCCACCTGTATTAACCCCCTTAATCTTCCCAAACTCCACTTTCCACACCCTCTCTGCCCCATCTCTCACCCCTTCCACCCCTCCGTCCGCTGTCTGCCACGGGGATGAGATGTGACGAGACACCTGCAGCATCTGCAGTGTCCCCTCAGTATCCGCTCCCCCTGGTTTTAACATCCACTGCTCCACAAGCCAACGGATTGCTCAGTTTTCAGTTCTTTTTTTTTTCTTTTTTTTTTCTCTTGATCCTTTTTAAGTTTGATGCTGTATTAGTTTTAGTTTGATATACATTATATAAAATATATGAATATGAACATCAATTTGTCTCGCCCGGAAATCTGTTGAAACACATCATGACACACACACACACACACACAAGTTTTTAAGCATGTGATTTGTTTTTCTTTAGAAGTTATTCAGAGATTTGTTGTGATATAAATTGATTTTAGAGGGTCCAGAGTAGATAGAAGATAGTCTAAGTTCATATAAAACTTCATGGATTCCATTGAAAATCAAATCAAAGTGAGGACAAATGTATATATTTGATGTTTGGTTTATGTAGGGTTTTTGTCTTTTAACAAATCCAGAGATTTTAGTATTAACAAATGTGAGGTTTCTTGATAAGCTATGAAATCTGTCTCTGCTAACGTTGAGAGCTGTTTGTTTAAAACTGGTGAGACACCAGAAACTAAAGCCTGAGTCAGAAGAGGTAAATCACTAAGACAGCACTGTGACACTGGCGGCTAGAGATCACAGGGTTCCTATTGATGTTCAACTTCTTATTAACGTCTGAGCTGTGAGTGACGAAACCAAGATCACCTAAACATGCTGCCAATCTTTTCTAGTTTTTAAAGATACCAAAGTTGATATATGCATCTTCACATCTACGTTACCACCGGCAGACCTTTTGCATACTTCTCTTAACAAATGTTTTAATATTCTCACTCACACGCCACCTGGTAATAGCAGCCACACTGCAGCTAATTTCCTGCCTTCAGCGAGGAGAGATCACGCCGGCTTAGCCCTCCATCTGTAGCAGGGCTCCTCTGTCAGCTAAAGGCAAAGTTTGAGAACCCCAGCAGAGCGAGCGTCACAAACAAACTGCTTCAGGAAAAGAAAACTGAGGCGGGACAAGAATAGACTTGGACAGAGCTTCAGTAAGAGGGACCAAATTGCCACTTTAAAGGTTATATTTATGAGTTATATTTTATAGTTTGCAGGGGACACTGACAGGAGACAGAGAGCAATAGCATGCAATATTTTGAGTTCCAGCTTAATGCAGGCTGGGGATGTTGTGACATGGTGTGCAAATGTGCACTAAAAATCATTGCATACATCAAGTTGTATGCGTTTTTGTTTTTTCCACTCAGTGACCACTTTAAACATGGTCCCAACAGCCAAAGCGTGCAGCGGACTGAAGTGCTTTTAGTTGCTAATGTGTAAGATTGTGTGTTTGGATTTAGAAAAAAGGCCAAATAACAATACAAGGCAATAAAAAATACAAGAACCTTTTTTGAACTAAAGTCAAATGCCGTTTTTGTCTTTTTAACAGATTTAAGATCTCTCTTTTTTTAGTTGCTTTATACGAGACACTGGTAATATCTTGGAAACAGCAAGTAAGCAGTAACATTTCAGCTGATTTTCTTTGTCTGTAGATGTTTAACAGATTATCTACAGAGTATTTGTGACAATTTATGAACATACCCTAACCAAGATGTTGCCTAAACCTAACCAAACCTTGACCAGACTGGTATAATATCAGAAAACAGTTGTTAAATCTCAACTAATAAGCTGTTGAATGTTACATATACTCTGTAGGTGGATTATCCAAATAATGTGTTGCCAAAAAAATATGCTGAATTATTAAATACATTGCTGTTGCTTTGGATTATTTTAGTTTAATGATGTAATTTCTGATTAATAATAACAATCTCTACACAGGTCAAAGCTTAACTGGTTATAGACTCGGAGAACAAAACTGAATTTTGTCTCTTCAGGGGAATAATGTAAGACCCTGTTTAGTCCCAGAGTGGTTTAAATCTCCTTTATGAACTGGTTTAGATTCATTTAGATTAAATGAGTGGAGTCTGTTTAAGCTGTTCTGAGTTAGTCTAGTTTCAAATGGGAGTTCTGTGAGCTTCAACTTAATCCTTGTGGGTGAAATAGACAATTATCTCCTGAATCTCTCTGAGTACTGCCATCAAATCATATTGTGTTTATTGTTGGAGTCTGAAATGTTCTATGAGGTCATTCTCAACCATGTAGTTGTCTCTGGTAATGCTAAAGTTATACTTTTTAAAAAATGGGACCGCTTGGGTGATACACACAGTGAGTATATCACACAAGCATCCTCGAGCTTGAGTTTGTTTGTCAGTTTCTCTGTGGCCATTGTGTTTCGCACGCAAGGAATGAGTCAATCTTAATGCGCTCAGCCAGCCACACTTCCCCAGGTTTGACCAGACATGAGATGTTGCTTAAGGCGCTGACAGAGAGAGTGAGAAAGAAACACTGCAGGACTAATTATCTTCACTCTCATCCTTATTAAAACCATTTAGCTAGTAATGTTCAACCATTATTGTGAAACAAGGTATGACAAACATTTGTAACAAATATTTATTTACAACTATTAATATTCCTTACTAGAAGAAGTTTTCTGAAAAAGGACAAAAAAAATCTTAAGACTTCTTTTGGCAATACTTCAATCAAGGAACACGCCACAAGTAAACAAAATGTAGCTTTTTATTTAAAGGTTTATAAAGATCAAATTTGCAGTCGTTCCGGAGACCCCCCCCCCCTTCTGGGGGAACGATAGATGTGGCTTTGACTCTGGCTGGCTGTGGAAATGATGGAGGGGGTGAAGCAACATTCAGTAAGAAGACGAAACAGGTAACACAGTTGAAATGTGGCTCAGTAATGTGACCACTGGCTGACAGAAAACCCTGCAAACTGTGGGTAAACCAATAAACTGCTTCCCAATTTTAGGGAGGGAGTCCCACTAATCTTCCTGCCTGAACTTCTGTTCTGTTTAAGTCTTGTGCCAAATCTGGATGAATGATTCTTGATGTTTAACTAGTTCCATCCTGAGTAAAACCATGGGATAGAAATGTGTGTTAACGCTGAGCTGTTTCAGTTTAAAGGTGATTTAGCCATCATGTCTTGACTTGACAAATGTTAAAAACTGGTTTTGATCAGTACCTTGTCTTCCTCTCCAAAACACAGCAATGTAGAGTCCCTCCTTCCTACCAAACAAGACCTTGAAACACTGGGCAGATCTTTAGAGCCCAGTTTAGTTCAAGGGAAATGCTCCAAGAGTACATGTTAAATGTCTGTGAATGACATTTATATTAGGGTACGTGTGTGTGTGTGTGTGTGTGTGTGTGTGTGTGTGTGTGTGTGTGTGTGTGTGTGTGTGTGTGTGTGTGTGTGTG